AGTGCGCGCGCTCCACTGCTGGCGGCCCGGGTTCAGATCCCAGGCACGCGCTGACGCACCGCTTCTCCGGCCATGCTTAGGTCACGTCCCACATACAGCAACTAGAAGGATGTGCAACTATGACATACAACTATCTACTGGGGCTTTCGGGGAATAAATAAATAAATAAATAAAATTATAAAAACAAAAAAAGAAGGAAGTACTTGGAAAGCATGTGTTTAGGAAAAAAAAAAAAAAAGAATATTCTACCAAACACTTATGTAGAATGTAATATGCAAACCAAAAACTCCCCCCAAACAAACAAAAACCCCACTTCAAATAGATATGGAAACGGCCACTTGAACAAATTAAGCTTTACTGGAGGAGTCCTCAGAGACTTTAACATGCTCATGAATCTTGTGGATCTCAAGGTTTGGGAGGACTGGCATGATTAGTATAAAACATTTCTCAAACTTTGTGACGATGGAACCCTTTATTCACAAAGCACCTCTTGAAGCCAGTGTTCCATTGCCATACTTTGGAAAATGTTGCTTTAACCCAACTTCAAATCAAAAAATCAAAACCAAACTATAAGCTCCATGAGAATGAGGACTTTTGTCTGTTTCATTCCCTGCTCTATTCCTGTGGATGCTCAGTAAATATTAGTTGAGTAAACAAATGCATGCATGTACAAATGCATGCACAAATAAATAAAACAAACCATGTCTAGTGTACACCACTGAGATACATGCATTCCAAGATACGGGGAGGGGCAGGGACTCTGTGTGGTTCACTGCTGCATCTCTAGGACCTAGAACATGCCTGGGCATGGTAGGCATTCAACAAATACTGGAACAGATCAATGAATCAAGGAATGAGTCACTTGCACAACCCAGTTCCTGACTTTAGTCCCTAATACCCTTTCTTTCACGGAAGGGAAAGAGTATCTCAACTGAGTAAGAGTACAGACCCTTGGTCACGACCCCAGGCAGTTCAGAAGGCAGATCCAGGTGCCAGCAGCTGGGCTCAGAGCCCCAGAGCCCCAGAAATGCCCCTTTGGAGGTGTGAGGGCCCTCGTGAAGTTCACAGAAGGGTTTTCATGCCAGCACTGGAAACCCAGCTACATCCATCCTGGCAGTGGCAGGCATCCCACCGTAGGCAGGTTGAGGACCAGACTTCTTTGGCACTGTCCAGACTAGCTGAGTGAGACTCCAAATCTCTCCCTTAAGGACAGCCTGGAGTTGGGCCAGAGCCTGCCAGGGGTGCTGTCCTCTGAGTGGCCCTGTGGGCAGAGACTTGCAGCCTAAGACACTGAGTGACCTGAGCCTTTGGGGGCAGGAGAGGTCTCTTAGGATCATAAATGGCTCTCCATCTGGATGAGCACACCTGCCATGTTCATGCCATCCTGAAACCCATGTCCTGGTCCTTCCTCCTTACCCTCCACCCATCCCTCAGCAGGACTAGCATAAAACTTGCAAGAGCAACCTTTGCTATACAGGAACCTAAATTAGTGTAAGGTCCTTAAGTCAAGATCTCCTACAGGTCTGTAGCTTGGATGTATGGGGGAAACGGTTAGCTGTTAGGAACAGACTGTCTTAACAGCTGAGGTGACACTGGCCCTCATCCAGCTATGCCCAGCACCTAGAGCAGAAAAGTACCATGAGTTTTCAAGAAAGAGACCCCAAAGCCTGGCCCAGGTGCATTGGTGACATTTCCAAATATTACCTCTGGGTAATATTTCCTTTCAGAGTGCCCAGCGCAGCCCCAGAGTCCCACGTCACCACAAGTGCAAGTCCCGCCAGCAGTTTAGGGAAGACTGACCCCCTAAACCAACCCCTGTGTTTGAGGATTGAGCAGCTCCCACGGCAAAGAAGAGAGGAAACAATAAGCTTTATAAAGAACCATATTTATTTTCATTTACAGCATCAAATACCATAAATAAAGCTAAACATTGTCTGCTGTGTGCAAAATACAGGGTTCCGTGTGGCACTGTAAATGACTATCAAAGGTCACAAACATGCATTACAATGATGAGATGGGGGAGGCTAGCTAAGGAGGAGGCTGGGAGGGGAGAAGGACATTCTTTGGTTGACATTCTATAAAGGGAGGGAGACTCTGCAAGAGAAGATAAGACAAAAGCAATGACTTCATACTGGCTAGGCTCTGCACCAATGCGGCGAGCAATGCAGCATGCAGGACTGTGCAGACAGGCTGAGAGGTCAGCATGGCTCTGGGCCTCATGCAGGACAGACACCCCCTGCAGCCTGAAACCGTGAGGCCTGGCCCACAACGGCTCCACCATACTTGGTGTGCTGTTTCTCTTTAAAACGAATGGGACTCCGAATGTCCTACCGCTCCATGTAAGGAGTCAGTGAGAAAATGTGTTTTGAGCAGAGCCGTGGGGGCACTGAAACTGGCTGCTCCAGGCCTGGGGCTGAAGTGAGTCATTTCCCAAAGCCATCCCTGGCCTGTAAGGACGATTGCTCTAGTTGAAGCTTCTGCATCATCTGGGGCTTTACGAGCGAGAGAGATAAGAAGAGCCACAGCAAAATCCTTGGATCTAAAGTACAGGTTGCAGTAGAGAAAGGATTTGCTAGGAAAATTGTGATTCTGTGTTCAAAATACAGAGGATGGATCAAGCTTGTGATGAGGCCAGGCAGTACTTTTTTAAAATCCCTCCAAAAAGAGTCACCTATGGTTTTGATCAATAACACCAATAACCTTTATGTTGGAACCAATTTAAGAAGATGCTTCTATGCGTGTGCTTTTTGAGAGGTTGCTAGACAAAGGAGTTCTTTTCAGAGGTGACAGAGCCCTCTCTATGGTGCTATCTCACAGTCAGGGTTAACCCTCCCAGGAAGGTAAGTGGCTTCGTAAGTGCAACCGGAAAAGCATGCGCGCAGGCCGCACAGGGAACAGAGGGGAGGCGGGGCATGCACCTGTGTGGACTGGGCTGCCGGCTCAGAGGTCAATGGAATCAGGAACGGCTTTCAAGCTGGACACCACCCCACGTTGTTAACCGACCATGCTACCAAATGAGTCTATTAGTATGCAAGACACTCGCAGTTAGCATACCAGTACCGAAAGCGGGTTAGGGCTTAGTACCACTCTCTGAAAATTGGCAAGAAAACCAGTCACCTCAGAGCAGAAGTGTGTCAGCCAAGAAGTGGGTGTAGCACTGGAAGGCTGAAATGAACTGACGGCCACAGTGTAAGGTTGGAGAGAGAGAGACAGAAAAGAGAATTTAGTTTGGGGAAAAAAGGAAACTGACAACACGAGAAGGCACGGGAGTTGAAAATAAGGCAACCATTAAAAAACAAGAGAAACTCCCCCTGAACAAGTCACTGACGTGTAGGACAGATGAACCTTTCTGGTAGTGACCAGCTACTCATCCACGAGAGGGGACACATGTGGTTTGCATACCCCAATGCTCCCCTGTTCTCCACTCCGAGTGTACGTGCCCTCAGGACCCCCCCCCCCAATACCCTCTGCCCCAATTTGCTCTAGTGTCTCATATTCACTCTTGAATCTGCTGTGGAGGCTGAAAGGCGTCCGCTCCCGGGTCCACCCTTGGAGCTGCCCACCAGAAAGGTTCAAAGTCTCAGAACATACAAACATCTCAGGCTTCTGACAGGCACACCCTGTCTCCTCAGAGTAATTCAAACCAGTCTCCTCATAGCCGTAAGTGACATTCTCAGAGCCTAACTCTGGCTTTGCACAGCATTCCACAAAGCGTCTCAGTCCACCCTCAGCTGATGAGAATAACAATGACACGGCTGTGCGTGTGTTCACAGCATGACCTCAAGAATTTACTTTCGGAACCAAACATAAAATGAATCAAGGGCTCCTCCCACCACGCTGAACATTAAAATCCCAGCAAAAATTTGGAAAAACACAATGCAAGTCATCAGACTGAGAGCAGTTCCAACAAGGACAGAGGCACTCATTCCCATGGACCTGGCCACAGCCATGCCCCTGTTTGACCCAAGGACTTCAGGGAAGCATTTGTAGAAATGTCCACCCTATAAAAACTTGTCATCTCAAAGCCCTCAAGAGTTCTGGCTCCTAACCCACACCAGGCTCCCTCCTTCCTTACTCCGGAGGAGATCTCTAGTGTAACAAGTGCGTGGAGCTGTTTCCAGCCCGGCAACTGTAGATACACTGAGCACGGTATCTCTGGCAGCCTCTCTGCTGTTCAACCAGACCCAGCAGCTGTGCACACCCAGGCGGCAGAGTGCAGTGGGGAGAGCTGAGGCCTCCTCCAGATGCCCAGAGTGAAGAAGTCAAGTTTTTGCCAATGCCTCTTTTTGTCCTTAATAGGGCATTTTTCTTTTGCATCAGTCAATAAACAGCTTCCACTCCCAGCCTCCCCTGCCAATCAAGACACAGGGGAGCTTCCCCCTGGAGGTCAGACACATTCCTTTGCTAGGACAGCGTGAAAATAAATGGTTTCTGACTGTTTTGACCAAATATGCATGGCAGCCGAGTGGCTAAGCAGCAGACCCAGTGAGGTCTGCAAGCAGTGCTCACTGGGCAGGCTTTGCTTCCCAGAAACAACACCCTGAGGTGCTAACAAACGCTCTCCGTCCCAAAGGACGTGATGTGAGAGGGCAGAGCCCTCCCTCAGTCTGATCATTACGGACCCGAGTGGCCTTGGCTCAGACTGCATCTGGGCCGGGGACCTGATAGGGAGCCCCAGGGGTCATAGCTCCCAGTCTATGCCACCAGCTGACATAGCTCCTCTTCAGCATTGCATCAGCTTGACAGAGCTCTGCACGGTCAGGGGCCGACGGGCTCTCACTGCAGTGCTCATCAGTGAAAGGGAAAATGCACTTTTGTAGCAATCTGCTTGAAACCTTGTGGATCTGTGTCATTTAACTGTGATTTGGTATAGGGGAAAAAACCTTTAAGCTACTATTTTACATCAAAACGAGAGCAAAATGGTCTCTTCTGTCTAGGAGGAAAGAGAACAGCCAACTACACACTGCCATATGCTTTTGTAGGTTTAATTCTATTTTGTCCTTCTAAAATGACTATGCTTTCACCTTGCAAAAAATTGCCTCCTGTTGACAAGTGGCATCCAGGGACATAAATTGAAAGGCACTGGTCAGGAGATGGCACACTCACTTTGGTTTATATAAAAGCCCAAATCACTACCGTTGCAGGTAGTGACTCTTGCAGCCGACTGCCACGTGGAAGGGGTCTGTAAGACCAGTTATAAACCTCAAACCCGTTTAGAAAAATTGACGCTTATAGAAAAAAATGTTTTCTTTTGGCTTATTAAAAGTTAAAAATTGAAATGTAAACCTAGAAATATGGCTCGCTTTGGTATAAAAGTACAAAGCTATAAAAAAAATCCTTCATGTGGTGCTGGCCCCAGCACCGGGAGCAAAGGTTCACCCTGACAGGCCAGGCGCAGGAGGCCACCGTGGAACTCTTTGGCTTTGAGCTAATCGGTTCAAGACCGCTAGGCTTCCCGGCCAGCGCCTCAGCTACCTGGGAACACCCCGCCATCTACCCTGGAAATGTTAAGGCACTCTGGGGGGCCGGCGCGTCAGTGGAGCTTGACCGGGAGGCATCTGAGCACCGAGTTGCGGATGCTCTCGAGGGTCTCCTCGGACTCCCGGAACATGGAAGCCAGGACCTCGGAGAACACCCAGAGGAGGGGCAGCCCGAGGCTCAGGAGCTCGTAGGTGTAGCAGTAGTTGTAAGCATTGTCCCTGATATGCAGGCCGACGGCGCGCAGGAGTCCCTGAATCCAGTTAAGCAGGCTCCGGGGAAGGCGAAGCAGGCCCCACGACAGCCTGAGAGGCCAGCTTAGCGCCTTCCTAAAGAAGGAATTGGGGATACCTGGGGGGCTGCCTGCGGGCGTGCCGATGGCTGCGGCTGCGCAAGAGCTTTCCATGGGAGTGTCTCGCCGAGGGGCTTCTTGCTCTTTCCACGTCCCCTCCTCCTGAGAAAGAGATGAAAGCGAGCGCATTTAGTCCACGACGCTCACAGAGGACTCCGCCAACAAAGCAGACGGAGAGGCCAATAAAAATTGAACTTGGCAGACCCTGCGTTTTGCAACTAGCGTCCAACTAGCAGCAATTCAGCCCCAGGCACTGCTGAAGGGACCCGGATATGGGCACGCCTTTTCTTGGGGGGCAAATTGACCATAGGGTTCAGGAGCCCTCAAAACACACAGGTCCGGGGGCGGCCGGTGGCCTAGCGGTTAAGTACGCGCGCTCCGCTTTGGCAGCCCTGTGGTTCACCGCCCAGATCCAGGGCGTGGACCTACGCACTGCTTATCAAGCCATGCTGTGGCAGGCGCCCCACATAAAATAGAGGAAGATGGGCACTGGATGTTAGCCCAGGGCCCATCTTCCTCAGCAAAAAGAGGAGGATTGGCAACAGATGTTAGCTCAGGCTAATCTTCCTCACAAAAAACATAAAAAAACACACGTGTCCTTTGACTCAGCAATCCGATTTCTAATAATATATCCTAATAATTTGAAATATGGATAAAGACGCATACAAAGACATTCACTGTAAAAGTATTAAACAATATGAACGTCCAATAATATGTGACTCAAATCAATTATCGACCATCTTTTACAGGCATCAAAAATTATGCTCCAAAAGAATTTTATGTCATGGGAAATTGTTCTTGATACACTGTTAGTGAAAAAAGAAGGATATAAAACTGTAGTGATATGATTCCAACTAGGTTAAAATATACTCAGAGGAAAATGTCTGGAAGGAAATGTTACAAAATTTTAATTATGGTTTTCTCAGGATAGAGCGATGATGGGTAATTTAACTCTCCTTCTTTAAATATTTTCATATATTTACCCATTTTTCTATGTCAAGCCTGTATTAGTTACATAATCAGAAAAAAGCCATTACGTTGCAGGTCTGTGCTGGTGGTGGGTCATTGATCAAGGCGAAGAGAGGTATTTGCTAAGAGCTGCCAGAGGGGGGCGCTATCACAAGCCATCCATAAACTCAGCAAGCCAGACACTTTGCTGACATCAAAGAGCCTGGGGAAAGGACTTGGAACCCGCAGAGGGTTGGCCCTACCTGTGACATCCTTGCAAATAGAGCCCTATAGTCTCGTGGGCCCCAAGCACAGGGGAGCCACGTGGCATGGGACAGGGAAAGCTCTCTGGGCTTCTGGCATCTAGAATGGGACAAACCCAGAGGCTGGCTGAACAGATTGAGGCAAAGGGATCCTCCACATAAGGAAGTAGAGACTATCTTCTTCACGTGTGGGTCTCAATCCCTCCAGGGCCAGAAATGTTGGCCTAACTTGGAGAAACCCCTGAAAACCATCTCCTCTCTAGAGGCCTTCCCTGTGTCACCAGCACTTTCGAGACAAAACCTACCTCTCTTTGTTGCTTCAACTCTGCCCGTCTCTTCCGTTGCTGATTATTGGTTTTACAGTGAATGAAATGAGGCTTGCAGAAAAACTTGCCTGTAAAAATAAATACACACACATACACATCCGCACACAGGTTTTTCTCTTGTAAGCTGGAGCCACAGCAGACATGAGCCAAGTGCTCACCACTGTCTAGGTCAGAGAATGTCAATAAGGGAAACAAGCCTAGGACAGCTCAAACTTGGGAAATGGTTCCTGTCACCTGCCTTAAAGAAGTGACACGGAGATGAGGCAGCAGGACCCTCTGCAGCTTCAGAGGCAGGCTGCAGCAATGGGGCACTCCTGGGGTGGACTGAAACCCCCAGATAATCCCCAAACCAAACTGAGGCCAAGTCTCTCCCCAATGCCTGTTGCCAGGCAGTGAAATGACCAGCTCTGAATAGCAACACTGTTTCTGGTTCCTCGTCCTTTCTGGGACCCCTGGGGGTGGGAAAGGCTCAGAACAGATGGCAGCAGTGATCCGGAGGAAAAGACCCAGGCAAGGTACACACTGGGCCACTGGCCACTGCCCAGGACCATTGGGCGCCTTCCAGAAAAGCCTTCTTTGCTCTTTGTTACAACAGTAACAACAGTGACGGGAAGAATGATAACAATAGGAAAATCTTATGTAGGGCCCGCACTATATCAGGCACGATTCTAAATGCTTCCCATGATTTAACTCATCCATCCTCACAACATCCTTTTAAGCTCAGCACTATTATTATCCTCATTTTACAGATGAGGAAACTGAGGGAGCAAGAGGTTGGGTAGCAGGTTCAAGGCTGTATGCCGGTAAGTGGCACGGTCTGGATGCGAAGCCAGGCAGTCCGGTGTGAGGGGACGGAATCACAAGCACTGTGCTGTACTGCCTCTCATTATATATGATGGTGCGAATAGCTAGTGCTGAAATTTGGAAAATAACCACTCATTCCAGCAGGCACAATTCCTTCATCCCTATCTCTGGTAGGCCATTTACCAGATGGGATGTTATTATTATGGTTATTTTATAATACACACTTTATATACAGTAACGTTAAGATGCCATCATTTATCGAACCCTTATTACATGCCATGTCTGGTGCCGAGCATGCTACATAGGGTGTCAGGTTTGACTTTCGACCACACAGGGGCGACAGAAGGTGGTGAGACTGAATGGGAAGATGTCCATAAAGCACTTGGCACACAGTAGGGCCCGCCAGTGCTGGCACATCCAGGTGCTGACGGCTTCCCCTTCCCTCAGGAGCCCCTGCCCAGCACAGGTGGCCTCTCTCTCTAGCAGGAGCTCCCGGCTCCCTGAGCGGCTTTCCTGATGATACTGTACTCCCCGGGAGCGTGGGCATCCCAGATCCTCCAGAGGGGCAGGAGCCCAGGCCAGAGACCACTGCCCTCCTTGGCCCTTGGGGGTTACCTTCGTCACCGTCGAAGGCGTAGGCGGCCAGGCGCAAGGTGGTGGCGCAGACACTGCAGCGGAAACACTCCCGGTGGAAGAAGTGGCCCTCTGCACTCAGCCGCTCCATCACGTACACACGCTTCTTACAGAAGTAACAGGTGTTGCTGCCGCCCAAGTTCCCGGGAAACACCTTTCGCATAGACTCCTGGGGGGCACGGGGCACAGGGAGAGAAGAGCAGCATGTTAGGGCTTCTACTGCATCCTCAAATGCGAGGCCTAGGCTTGTAGCAATTCTGACCTGAATCATGGGGACCTCGTAGGCACTTATTTGTTGCTTTTGTCACCGCAGGCACCACAGCAAAGAGTGAGGGTGGGAAGATGCACCCCCACCAGAACTCAATCCTGTAGGGGCTACTGAAATGGTCCTCCCAGGCAGGCCGGCTGGCAACAAGGCTGGCTGGAAGGGGCCTCCCACAGGCTGGCTGCTCTGGTTTCCGGTGGGAGTGATGCCACCTGGTCTGATGGAGTGGGCATCCCTCAAACATGCCTGCCCAGGGACGCTGTCTCCAGGAATCTGTCCCAGGGGTTACATGTTGCCTGGGTCTACAGCGAGGTCACTGAAAGAGTGTTCTACACATCCTAGTCCCCCTGCAGGGACTTACGTCAGGCAAGGAAAGCTTGCGGCTTTGAAACTGCTCAGAGAACGCAGAAAAGGGAGAGGCTGTGTCCTACAGCCCATAGGCTGCCAGTCAAATTCCTAAATGCAAGGGAGGAGGGCGAGGGCCAGGGCAGGGGTGCACCTGGGTGATTCCAGGTGAATGTGTCAAAAGGAAACCAAAAGAATTGTCAGCTTAAATCATTGGTGGCAGCAGCGAGTGGCCTCATTTGGAGAAGGGAAGAATTCAAAGGAAAGGATGTTTTCCCTATTACTGAATTCTCAATCCAGTGCAGAAGGGCCACTCAGGTTGGACACTAAACTGATGGTAGGGATGTCCAACTGTGTGGACGGCCTCGCCTGGCCTTTTTCCGAGTTCTCCACAGCCCTAGACGGCAGGGAAGTTGCTCTGTCTTGTGAAATGACCCAGAAGGGAGCCAAGTGGGGACTGTCTGTAAGGAAATGCAGCCTCCGCTATCCTCTGCTCTGACCAGCCCACTCGTAGTCCCCTTTGGCCCACGAGAAGGGGACCTTGGGAGGGCCAGGCCATCCTCTCTCATCCCGTGCACCCTCCCTGGGAGGCCAGAGCTGGTGTCTGCGGGCGAAGGCTGAGGGGTGTGCATCCTTACCAGGTCTGGAGAGGTGGCCTGGGTCTTAGGTCTGTGATCATTCATGTACAGATTGACCAGGACTTCGGCCGCAGCCCCTATTCCGCTGGACACTCTCCCTACCGTCAGCTACCCCAGAGCAGAGGCGGAGGAGACAGAGACAAAGGGAGAGGCCAGTTAGCACCCAGAAGGAAGACACAAGCAGGCAGATGTGGGACAGGGCTCCACACCCACAGGCAGACAGCACCCAACGGCCTGAGAAAAGCAAAGAAACGGAACCCTGTGCCCTGGGCGAGCCAGGTGACTCAGAGAACTACATCCGTTGGGGGCACAGGCCCTTCAGGAGTTCACTGAGTTTCTCTTTTCACAGGTGGGGTGAATGAATCCCAGAGACAGGAAGGGATGTAGCCAAGGCAACTTAGCAAATAAATGCTGGATTCAAGACTCTACTCAGGTCTCCTGACCCCAGCCCGGGTGCCCCACAGGGCCTCTCACATCAGGGGCTGGGGTGACTCGGGCTGCTCAGGCCCCATAACCACCAAAAGGGCCTGTATGGCACCTCTGTGACTGTAGCCTCCAAAAGCCTATGAGGGAGAAAAGCCGAGCAAAGGAGACAAGGAAATAACAATCAAGATCTCACAGACAGCTGACTGCCACCGCCCTCCTCCAGAGGCCCCTCCCCCTGCAGAGGGGAGGGCTATGAGCTACTGCTTGGTGAGCATGGGGTCTCACAGACCTGCAGGAAGGGTTGAGACCCCGCTCCACCAAGAAACCAGGCCTGAGACTGGGGCCCAAGCTCTCAGCTTCTGAGCTCAGTTTCCTCGTCAAGTAAAATGCGCTAATTGTGCCTGCCTCATGGGTTTGTGGGAAGAACTGAGTGAGAGAACATGTGCCAAAGCTCCTGGCACTTAGCAGGGCTAGGCCAAGATGAACTTGACTCCTCCCTCCCTTCCTCCTCTGAATTCAGCAGGCCGCAGCCTGCCCTGCAGCTCCCGGGTCCCTAGGGGGCGATGGCTGTGTCTGAGCTGAGTCCCTCAAGGCCAGGACCACAGACCACCTTGCCAGCAGAGGCAGTGACTGGACTGGGAGGCAGGAAGAGGGAGCAGGATGGAGGGCTGCACTACAGGCTTTAGGCGGCAGTGCCCCGAAGGTCCCAGAGCTGGTGCTGGGCAAGTCAGCTCCACGTGGCACCAGGATCACCTCCTGACGGGCTGCAGGTGCCCGTGCCCCTGAGGACAGGATGGCCCACGCCTACCTACGGGTGCCTGGACCCCCACCAACATGTCATGGAGCCGGGGAAGGGGTGGGAGCCAACAGCCCAGACATGGCACCATCACACACCTCGCAGCAAACCCCAACTTGCTCCCCCTTTCCCCACCAGCTCTGAAAGGCCACCCCCGTGCCTGTAGCCTCTCCTTCAGGGAGGCAAACATGCACAGTGTGAGATTCTCTAAACACTCTTCCTGATCCCAAGACCCTGGAGGGAGGAGGCTCCAGGCCCTCCCCAGTCTCTGAATCCAGCTCCTGGGAGATGTGGCCAGAGAGAGCAGCGATTTGGGCTGAAGGCCCTTGGGCACAGGTTGATAGCCATCCAGACGACAAATAGCAGTCACTTGTGTGAGGGCAGAGGAACACCCTCAATCTAAACCCAAGACTGCTCTTGACAGGCCACGTGTGATCCGACGTGAAAGCCTCAAAGACACAGCAGGAGGTTCGGGGAACAGAAAGCAAATGGCAGCAGGCTCCCACGGCTTCCCACCCCTGGCAGCTGTGCCCACCCTCAGAACCTGAGGCCAACTCACCGGATGCCAGCAAAAGACAGGAACCACAAGGGGATGAAGAGGGAAAGGGATGGCAAGCAGGCTGGGGAGAATGACCAGACCCGGGAGACTCTCGCTCTTTCTCATGAAGGAAACCCAACACTCACAGCGACTTGGGAACAGTCACTCCAACCACAGGTGGGGCTCTTGGGGATTGTAGAGAACGTGGCTGCAGGCCTGCTGGGGCGGTCTCGTCCCATGATTCAGACAGATGGGACCTCTTCAGACTTTACAAAGCCTGTCTCTCCCCAAGAGCAGCATCTGCCAGGGCAGTTCCCACCTCCCCCACCTCTCAAGCTGGCCCAGCCTGGGCGAGATTAGGATCCTGCTTCCAAACACACTTCCTGCCATTTTCAGGATTTCACAAATGCCAAGAAACTTAGCTCCTGCTTCCAAGACAGATTCGGGTGCACTGGCTCAGGACAATAACACATTGTTGGCCTGATGTTCCATTCCCTCCTGGGGCCCCCGACACAGGCCCTCAGACAGGGGCTGTAGAATACCAAGTACTTCCTGGGTTTATATTGAAATAAAGGGCGGGAAGGCAGGGGAGGTCAGAATTACCTCCCTGCCCACACCGCCCTAGTGTGGCTGTCTCCACTGGCCCAGTGTGTGAACTGGTTTCCTGGTGCTCTCCCAGAAAGACACCAGGGTGATGCCATGACACCCACGTGCAATTATTGCCTCCCCTGAGTTAACAGAGACGGAGACTGTACTTTCTGGGGCTTTCAATACAAGTCGCTAACGAGACCTTATTAACCACTTAGCTAATAAGCACTTTGTGCCGCTGAGCTTCCGTGCAATCCTGACTTAGGGAGCAATTACAGAAGCATGCAGAGGGCTGCGAGGTTGCCGGGGGGTGTCGCCAAAACACGTCTGTGCAGCTGCAGACCTGCTCAGTTGTTCTACCAGAACAGGGCACTGCCCAGGTCACCTGGCCAGGGGATCCAGGAAGAAGACCACACCTGGTCTTTCATTATGGGCCAAAAAGTCTTCTTTCTCCCAGCTGCATCCACATTCCCATGCTGTGACGGTGGCTTTCTTAAGAATAATGAAATGAAAGCTCCCTGAGGGAAAGCAGCATTGGCTCTCCCACATGCCCTTCCTAACCCGATGGAAACCATTCCAGAATCACCTATACCCAGAGGTGAACCAGGACTCCCTGGAGAGGTCACAGGGGACCAGGTGATGGAGAACTTGTCTCAAGGGGTTAGAGGGGGTCCTTGGAGCCCACCCCAAAGACCAATGTGAAGGTGAACATTGCCCTGGGATCACAGGTTATCTTCACTGTGTTTCCTGACAGCTTGATGCCTTATTGGCTCCACAAGAGTGAGCACATGACCAGTTGGACTTGTGCTAGCTCAGTGCTCCTCAAACTTTCAGTGGTGAATGATCAGATTTTGCTTTTTCTTTTTAAATCTCTTGAGGCCCAATACTTCCAGATACAATAAAAATGAAGTCCTAGAAATATGATCGCACACTTGGATGTGTGGCAATGTCAAATTGCTCCGCAAGTGTCAAAGGCTCACTCTCGCTCGCTGTGCTCCTTGGGTCATAGACCAGTACCTGCCCACGAGTAGCACTGCTCTAGCTGACAGGGAAATTACCAGGCTCGCGGAATCCTGAGAAAGCAAGAGATGCTCAAATCGTGGAGAAACCTCCAGAAAATTCATCCTGGTATTGACCTCGAGTAAGATTCACAGGTCAACAAGGAGATTCCTGCACTGAAAGGCAAGCGCCTATGCTCCTGGGGAGGGCTGGTCCAGAGGAGAGCTTACCGTTCGCCTGGGAACAGTTTGTCTAAACGCAAAGTCAGGCAATCTGATGATCTGAGCAAAAACAATCCCATCCCAGTCACTAGTTTTGTAAAAATTGGTAATTTTGGAGGACCAGGGGTCTGCTTTTGCAACTCTTTATGTGTCTTTCAGTATTCTCGTAATTTTGAAGAATTGGGGTATTTCTCACTACTTTTCCTCCTTTGTGAATTTTAATTATTTTTCAGCTAATTAATTAGAATAAGCCAAAATGGTTGGATACTTCAGTTGGGCCATCACCTCACATTACATTAGACTAAGCTCACCTACTCCATTTCCCTTCTTTGAGCCTCAGCTTCCTCGTCTGTAAAATGGGTAGAGCACCACCATTTTCCCAGGGTTGCAAAAGAGCATCATCAAGGATGTGGGCCGTGCTTCCCACAGTGCTGGGCCCCCAAGAAGCACTTGGCAGAGAGTTAACACATCCACAGCACCACCACTGGTACAGCTTCGTACTTCCATATTCTGAGACTTTTCTCCTCTCTTAGATGTCTTCACTTGAGACTCTTGGGTGCTTGGGTTCCCTCCTCTGCACAGGTAAGAACAATGTGCCCACCCAGGCTGAGTGCACTTGCTTCTCTCCCCTGAGCCAACCCAGATTCAAACATGGTGCCTTCACTGTTGTCACAAGCACCATCACCAGAGGCTGCAGAAGATGGCATTCCTGAGGCAACCCTGTCACTCCCGACTCAGAATATGACAGTCCCTGCCTGGATGCTGGAGTCTTTCTCACCCTGCTCCAAACTGGCCCGTCTCTTCTCGGGTTTGCATCCCCTGATGTCATGACCCCATCTTATTCATCTCTATAATCCTGGCACAGGGGTGATGCTCCGAACGAGGGAGGAAGCAGGCTTTTGGGCCCATTAGTGTCCAAACAATGGTAACTCCTCTCCTGAGGCCTGGAACTCAGCCAAGAATACCAGGTGTCCAGGCTGCACATCTCCACAGCTGGGCCACTTGTGGCCACCTGGCCTGCTGTGAGCATCATGAAGCCCACACGGGTCAGGCAGGGGTGAGAGGAGAGCTTCCAGGGCCTTGGAGCTGCGGGTTCACGAGATGGGGAGGTTTTGACAAGTAGGGCCAGAGGAGGTCTCCTGGGCCCACGTTCCTCACTGAGGAGACCCTGGGTGAGCGACATCAGAGGACAGGCTGGTGGACCAGAGTCCTCAGCTATATGCCCAGGGCAAGGAAAAGGGAAGGCAACAATTGCCACCCCCTGTTCGAGGGGGTCCAGAAATTATACACTCAGTGCCTCTGGGGCTGTGACCTCCCAGTGGTCACCCATGTCTGCACTTTCATCCCCTGTTGCTAGACACTGTGCTGCTGGTCACATGCGTTTAACCCTCACAGCCCTGTGAGGCGGGTCTTGTAATCGCCCTTAGCAGATGGGCCAGCTGAGGTTCAGGGAGGCTCTAACTCACCTGAGGCCGCACTGTTCCTAAGTGGCTGGGATAGAAATGGAAATCGGAAGGTGACTTCTTTGTCTTTAGAAAGAGAGGAATCAACATGCATTTTAGGTAAATGAGCTTTCTTCTAGAATTCTCCTCCACTCAGGAAAGAGCACATTTACTGGATGCTTCAGGCATTTTACATTGCTAGGTCATTGCATTATTCCAATCACCCTCAGGAGCAGACGCTGTTATCTCCATTCTCTAGGTAGGAAACTAAGGTGCTGCGAGGTCCCCTAACTTGTCCAAGTTCACACAGTGTGTAATTGGTGCTCTGAGCCCAAGTGTGACTCCGAGCCCATAGCCTTCCCCTTGTAGCCCCCCATCTCCCTGAGACACACCAGCGTTCTGCAGATTAGAATCCCCCAGGCTAGGATGCACACAGGAGACCTCCAAAGGGCTGCCTAGCTCTATCCATGGGACAGAGAGAAGGACAATGAAGTCGGAGGTGGCCTTGAGAGCTATCCTTGTATCAGATGAAACAGAGGCATATTGCTCAACTAAGACTGCCCAGCTTCCCTCTAATATGCAAATCTCTAAAGTCAACCCTGCAAATCCAGTTTTAAAACAAACACCCTCAAGGGCAGAGAAAGCTCCTTTTGCAATGCACATTGTTCTTCTGACCCAGGAGGATGAAACCACAGCCCCCAGCCCAGTGAGGCTGTCCCTCTTGCTCAGCTGTGCAAACACTCAGCCGCCATCTTGTTCTTGCAAGAACTCACCACCTTGACAAATGTCTGGCAGCCATGCCAGAGGCCAAATCAGCAGTGGTTTCTCTTCTTTAAGAAAGAAGTTAACTAATGGCTGATAGGGGGCTGATACCACTACAGGAGGGCTGGTTTGATGGAATGGATGAGCCAAATGGTGCTGGGGACACATGACTGTACATGATCACATAGTTTAAGGCCTTGAAAGACAAAACTCCTGGGTAAGGATCTGGGCCCTAAATGAGAAGGCCTCAACACTCCCCATGACCGTTCTGGCCCAAAATCCAGCAGCGTCACTCTTAATCCTAAGGCGGAACGTCAATCTGAGGGGCTGGTAAGTATAGTCTGAAGGCAGAGCTCTGGCCACGTCTCTGAGTCGATGACCTGAGTTTGCATCCCTGGGAGTAACACATGCTCCTTGTAACAAGTTTGTCTAAGTCTATTCCCATGAGGAGGTGATTATCCCTGGATCCTCAGAATTAGGGTGTAGGGATCTAGGACAAGAACAGAGACACGCTGCCTGCCAGGAGGTTGCCAAGGACTAAGCGTCAGTCTCCAAGTGCATTTTTCTTCCTCGGGCTCCCCTGAATGGAGGCCATCTTGGGTCACTGGGCAATCAGAGCAGCCCATAACCTGCTGGAAAGAAGCATTAAGGCCCCAGGCTCTCTCCAGGGGAGAGGCTCCCTGAGCTCCAACAGGACTGAATGAAGCTGTTTGTCACCAGGCTGTCACCTACTTTAAGGGGCAGCCAATTCTCTCCTCAGAGGAGGCTGTCACTCTGCCAGATTTTGCAAGTGCAAAGCCCAGTGCTGAATAGATGGTGGGGTGGGGCCTGGGAGAGAGAGAGAAGTTGGGAATGGGGGCAACTGGCATACCCTTTCCAAGACTGTTTGAAACTGAAACTGGAAATTCACCACTCACTCCAACCCAAACTGCCTGCAATGGCTTCAGACTGAGATCTGGAGGGCTCTGTGGGTGTCAAGTCCAACCTGGATCCTTTTCACAAATGGAGAAACTAAAGCACAGAGAGGGTAAGTGACTTGCCCAGGGTGGCCCTTTCTAAGAGCTCCCCAATTGTTCCCAGCCACACTGTGAAAGGCACATCAGCCTGTAATTAATAAGTCAGGGGCTTTTAACATAGCCCAATTACACCATCATCTGACGGCCAAGGCTGGCTCAGAAGATGAGATAAGAAAAACAAGGGGCGATTGTTCTGCCGCAAGCTGGGAGAAATAAGGAACTAAGCTGTAGAGGTGGGGGCCGGAGGAGCTGGGACTGGCCATCCCAAAGGCCACCCCATTTGCAGCCCTCCTTGCACTCCAGTGGGGGGCTCTCCATGGACACAGCCTCTGGGCTGGTCCCTCTGACAAGGCCTCCATTCACACTTGGCCCCCGTGGTCCAGAGGAGAGAACACTGGGCCGCAGTCAGGAGCCCTGGGCACTAGTCTCCTCTATGTACCTTTGTTTTCCCATCTGTGGCTCTGCTCCTACTCAATTCTCTTTCTGAGGAAGAACCCCCCTGCCACTTCATTGAAAATTGCTACCCTTCCCCAGCATGCCAGGTCCCTGCTACTTGTTCTAATTTTTCCATAGGAAGCATCGTCTTGTCTTCTGATATATAATTTACTTATATATCATATTATTGTTGATTGTTTCCTTCCCCCTACCAGGATGCAAGCCTCATCAGGGCAGGAACATAACCCTGGTCATTGACGCCTACCCCAAGAGCCTGACGGGCCTGACACTAAGCTGTCATTCAATAAACATTTGTAGAATGAATGAAGGTTCACTCATTGGCTTACCGAGTGACGTTGGTTTAGAGACCCCAGTGGAGAAGCAGCCAAGGGCCTCAGTGGAGTGAGTGTGATGATGATGTGATGGAGGATATGCTCTCTGACAAGAAGTGTCCTGCCAGACCCCAGCGGCCCCACATGGACTCAGGCAGGCTGTTCCTTGCCATTACCCAGAGAACTAATACCCAGTGGAAACCATGTCAGAGGGTGGCTTTTCTTGCCCCAGCTCTGCCCTCAACTCTGAGAGGGCAGAGACCAAGCCAGGGCTCTCTGAGGATGAAAGAGAAGCAAAGCAAAGGAGAGCCTCGACCAGGGCTAGCCAGAGAGGCTGGACCGGAGAGAAGCAAGTGTGGGCTTGGTGGCCCAGCCAGGAGCACCAGTCACTGCCTGCCTGTGCCCAGGCGCCGATATCCTCTCATCGTGCTGGCAAGGTGCCAAGGACCTTCTTCCGTAGCAGGAAGTACCCCCAGGGAAGGCTTCTCTACCAAGCTGAACCTTTGGTGATGGTGGTGACAAAAATGCCAATCTCCATGCATATGACTCACTATGACATGAGCCGGGAATACTCCCTTGTTGATGAGAAAAGGGAGGCCCAGACAGGTCAGGAAACTTAAGGTCAAACAGCTGACCAATGGCTGACCTGGAACAAGATGCTGGCCATCTAGCTCAGCCATGGCTATCTTGAGTGGAGCTGAAGATCGAAGTGTTTGTTTCTCCACGTCACTTCCTGCTGCCCCTTCCAGGGATGCTTCATACCCATGTTAAGGACCTCGGAGTGGGTGGAGCTGATACGATTCCTTGCTCCTTTCTTGGAGACCCTACCTGCACCCTTCTCTCCACAGTGATGCAGGTCATCGGGGATGGGACTCCCAGCTACACACCAAGAGGCAGCTCCTAGTTTTCCATTAACGCAACAGCAGGTTGCTGGTTGTGCATCAGCCTGACAGTATGGAAGCAAATGAGCAGTAACCCTGACAGGGGACATTCAGCATTGCACGCCGAGCCGAGCCCAGGTGGGAGGTAGACAGGCTGGATGTGTTCAGAGGAGCACAGTCTGCGGAGAAGAGACTCCAAATCTGCTCCTGTGAGCATTGGCTAAAGGATTGGGCTTCACATCCGTTTTTAGGTTCATCCATTCCAGAGGCCAAGATTCCCAGGAGACTGTCCCCTCTCACTCCAGCCTGGCATTATCTCAGCATATTAAGTAATAGGAAGATAAGTGGAATATATGAAAAGTGCTCCAGAACTCAACTTTTAATAATTGCTCATGGTGCATTGCATTATCTACTTAACCAAAGTTGGCTCCCCACTCCCTCTTCTCCTCTGAGCCAACCTCTGCACTACTACATGAATCATCCTTCTAGAACACAGAGCACATCCTTTGGTGGCTCTTTATAAGAGGAGAGAAAGATATTCCTTAATATGAAAAGAGCGGGCTGCCATTCATCCTCCTTCTCCACCCTCCCACAAACATTTTTATCCCCAAATCAAGTTGCACCAGAATCCTGTCTTTCCATTCATGCAAGTCCCATCTCCTGCCTTTGCACATGCCAGCCCCTGCCCCTGACTTCTCTCCAGCAAATCCTCCCGTGTAACCTTCAACACAGCTCCCATATTACCTCCTCTGTGAATCCTTCCCAGGCTTCCCCCCTCTGGCTTGCCCTGTATACCTCACCTAGAACCAATGGATCGTATTGCATTAGGGTCACCATGTGAAACTGCCATTTTGTTAGGTTAAAAACAGCCAAATACTGGCAATTTCATATGGGAAAAATGTTACTTATTTCTACGTGACTGTGCTGTTTCCATCTAAACCGTTGTAAGGGAACTGTACCTCCCTCCTCTTTGTTTTCTCGGCATCTGGCACAGAGGTTGGCATATGGTGGGTGCCCAATTAACACTTGCTGGATAAATGAGCTCTGTTACACAAGTTTTTGTGTGCTGACTGTTCCGCTGTGTTGCTTGCTCCAACACAGAAACAAAAACGAATCCAGGACTGTTGTAAAGCTCCTTACAAATTTTCATCCCAGCCAAGCCAAACTCCAGATGTTCGTCTGTGCAGGTCGAGCAGAGCAGAACATCTCAGAACATGCAGGGAGTGGGGGAAGCTAATTGTGCAGGACAACTACCTTTCTGGCAGGAGACACAGAGTCAACAGTCGACGGAGAGGAAGTAGCAGCTGGATCAGGAGGTGGAAGGCAGGAGGGAGAAGACGGAGGAGGAGTATGAGACAGGCCTTTAGAGAGTAGTTTATTCTGTGCAGAACAGAAACAGAGGAGACTACGATTATCCCCCGGGAAATGCACAGCGATGCTTGCCTCGATGATGCAGCCCCTTGCCTATGCATTTAAGGAGGAGAGAAGACATCCAGACCCGAGTCTCAAGACAAAACAGGAGCCCCTGTCTTTGGAGCCCAGCAGGACTGTCTGGCTCCTGACTACACTGCACTTGCTGCAACTACCCCGTCTCCCTTCTCACACCAAACAGCTGGAGCAGCTCCAACCTGTTCTTGCCTGCCTCTCCTGCAGACACTCGTGCTAACTCCTCCTGAAGCCCTCGCTCTGGAGCTTGGTATGAAGGAACGGCTGCAAGCTTAGGAAAGGAGAATTCTGGGCTACTTTGGGCAGACGGCCCCAGCAGGGCCTCTGCAGCTGCAGACAACCGTGCCAGCCTCCCAGCAGCTGTGTGGAGCCCTAAAAATGATCTAAATGCACAGCAACTTTCCCATGTCAATGACCCTGCCAAGTAGGAGAGGACACAGGTCTGGAGGAGATGGAGGGAAAGCAGCAGGGGAGGTACGTTCTGGAGCCCAGGCTGCTGCAAGCAAGGGAGCACCTTACACATCCAGGCAGCGCACCACAGGACCACACCATCAACTCTTACATCTCCTTGCGAGCACATTCTCTTCTTGTCAGCAAGTTTCTAAATAAGTACCTGGCCTGGAGGGGGCTGTGCTTCCCATGCTAAGGCAAAGCCATTCTTGGCTCGATGCTGCCTTCAGGAAAGCAGAGTGCAGGTTACAACGTGGTTGATCTTCTGACTTAGTGTCTCCCTGATCAGGGCCACCAGGAGATTGCTCCTTCGTGCCCCAGAATATCATGAGCAACTGGTTTGCTCTCACCTTCAAGGCACCTGTGATATGATTCTTGCAACCAACCAGCTTTCCCTCTTTGTGTTGACCATCAGGAAGCTCAGAGCCTACTCAGAAGCTATCTAGGATCTAACAGCACGCGTTTCTGTTCAGTAACGTTTTCCTTTGATCTGAGGCTACTTTTCTGCCTTGTTTTTCCCTTTGTTATGAATTATCTACTTATTTTGAATCATCTCATTTTGGTCTTTTTTAGAAACCAGTTCGAATTCTCTAGAGGCTTGAAAAGTGAATAGCGCCTCATTTTATAAAAGGAGGAGGAAGGAGGAAATGAAGCTCCAGAGACTGACTCCCGGTCATGTCGCTGGAAGTCCGACACCTTGTCCTGGGGGCTCCGAGAGCCCCGTGATTACCTGTGGGAAATCCTCGTGTCCAAACATGGAGGCGAGGTGAGCCGCCTTCTCCTTAATGTTCTTTGTGTGAAATTCCCTGTTGGCCAAGTTCTGAGCCCTCTTCTGCAGTCAAGGTGAGGAAGGAGAAAGAAAAGCAAGATAGTGACAGAGACTGTGATGGTTACCTCCGAGAGAGAGAGAGGCGGGCTGGTCTCAGCTACCACACGTGGCAGAACGGAGACAGGGGTGAACAGATACAGAAGGAACCCCCCCCCCCCCAGGCAGGAAGGGGAGGAGGAGAGAGGGCACCCAGACACAGGCAGAGACAGGCAGGGGTGAGGCTGTCACCTGGACAATCTTGTCCTCCACTTGCTGCAGCCGCCGCAGCACCCCAGATGGGGCCAGCCCTCCCTGGCAGGTGGGAGGCAGGGCGGCAGATGGTTCTGGCCCCCCTAGCTGCAGGTCAGACTTGGCTCTGGCTCTCCAGGGCCTGCTCGGGCCCTCGCTGCCAGCGGACACTTGCTTTAGCTCCCGGAGCACATGCCCCGTCACAACCACTGGGGGGAACTGGGGGAGAGGAAAAATCAAGCTTCCTTCCCAACTGTGGCCCTTTCACTGACCCCCAACGTGAGGGATCCCCACGAGGACCAGCATAAAGGGCACCCCAGGTGCCATCTCGAGTCAGATTCCAAACTAACCTCAGGTGTTGCCTTTCCAGCACCTGCCTCAGAATCACCCGACAGCCTCCTTAACTATACAGTCTTTGGCCTCACCCCAGACCCAGTGAATCAAAACCTGTACCACCCTCGTTCTCAGTCCTAGCTGCACACTGAAATCACCTAGGGCACCTTTGAAAAAACAACCCAAGACTGGGCCCAACCCCCAGAGATTCTATCTGGGCACCAGATACAGTCACGCGCTGTATAACGATGTTTTGGTCAACGACGGACTACATACATGATGGTGGTCCCGTAAGATTAGCACCACATAGCCCGGGTGTGTAGTAGGCTATACATCTAGGTTTGTGTAAGTACACTCTATGATGTTTGCACAATGACAAAATCGTCTAATGACGCATTTCTTAGAACGTATCCTCATCATTAAGTGACGCGTGACTGTATTGGTATTTTTTACTGAAAAAAAAATTGCTCCCCTAGGTAATTCTTACACACATAGACATAAAATCCCTGCATTACATCCACACTGACCTCATTCCACCTGCACCACCAGAAGCAACACAGAATTCCTAATGCTGTGCTGTGGTCAATAACAGTGATTCTGTTCAAATTCCAAACCCAGAGATGCCAGCTGGAAAAAGCCACAGTCCATGGCTGCTAACTGCCTTCCTGTCCACTGGGCAGGTCCTCATCTACTCAGGCACCAGGGGAGGCCTTCACCACATCCCAGCCTTCCCCCTTCAGTGGTGTGCAGCCAATCGGCCACCTGAGCCCATTCCACCATCACAGCCATGTTTTCATAGATTTAATAATCAGCCTATCGAAGTGGTCTGTGAACAAAGCTAAGTGTCCCAGGGGCATCACACAGAACTCCCCATGTAGTGTGATCTGTTTTTACCAAGAGCATGTTAGTTGGTGGGTCAATACCCCTGACCGGCATGTATTTCAAGATGCTGAATACTTGGTTATTCTTACCTATCAGGGTGGTGACCTCAAGTTGTGTCTGCCTCCCCAGAGAATCTACAATCAGCCCTACTTGGGGTGCGGAGAGAGCCACTGACCCCACCCCTCTGGCTTCACCAGGACAGCGTCCACTGGAAGGAGCCCTACCTGCCTTTTCAGAGGAGGTGACGGGCTGGGTGTGGGCTCCTCCGGCGTGGGGCGGCGAGAGTGAACAGGAGAGTCAGAGGAAGAGCGCAGGACGGGCTTACCTATCCCTGAGACATGGCGTTCCTGGGAGGAGGAAGGCGGATCCGAGAGAGCAGCCGCAGGAAACGTGAAGGAAAAGGTGAGTTAGACTGAGACAGCGGAGGGAAGAGAGGGAGAGAGGCAGGGAGAGAGTGTGCAAGCGCAGAGAGAGCACCGGGCTGAACTCCTGCCAGCCCAGCCCAGCTGGGAAACTTGAACCCTGGCTCTCTGTCCATGTGAACAGCAAGTCCTGGAGTCCCCTACTCTAGGACAACGTGTGAATCCCAGGGAGGCCTTGCTTTTGGCTCAGACCTGGGGCACTGGGCGGCCACTGCCAGAGCCCATGCCAGGCCAGGGTGGCCAGCCCCAAAAGCCTCCTGGAAATGGAAAAGCTTCCTGCCCCCTAGAATGATGAGGATGCTACAGTCCTTCTGAAGGGAGTCCCCTCCTAGACATCTGGGGACTGCAAGGGACCAAGCCTCCAGAAGGGGCAATTGAGAAAAAAATTCAGAGAATTACAGATCTCAGGAAAATGGCCCCTTTGTAATAAAATCACCTGGCTTCCTGGGGAAGGCCAGTTTGTCCAGGAGGGGCATGGTCCACATCAAGACCAGGAAGACGTCTATGGAGGCCTCTAAACCCAACTAACCAAGAGCCTGTCCTCCTGAGAGGAGGAGGTGTCACATGACAGGTGTTCTCCAAAGAAAAACAAACCCCTTGTCTCAAGCTTTTGTAATGTGACAGCAGCATACCAAAGGAATTCAGGGGAGCAAACAGAACCATGCAGCACAGACCCAGAGCCAGAACCGAGAGAAGTCAGTTTGGTCTGCAGCCTGACCCGCAACATTCAGTCTCCTTCAGCCTCACGCTGACCCCGGTCAGACACGAGAGCCCTGCCAGCCTGACTCAAGGGAACTGGGAGAGGGGGGCACCATGAGAACACTGAGGAGGTGGTCACCATTCCTGTAGGCCCACATGGAGCTAAGACCTATGACTCAGTTTCCCCTAGTTTAGACAGGTCGTCTCACTATAGACTTAGCACTCTCCCAGGCAGCCAGCATCTCTAAAGCTCCCTCAAGCTGTACCATCTCATAGATGGCTGCAAACCAAGTCATAGTTGCAAAACAAAACCAAATTAGGGAAAGGATTTCTTCTCCAACACAGAACAGGCATGGACGAACTACAGTGCTCGGGCCAGATCTGGCCTGCTGCCTGTTTTGTAAATAAAGTTTTATTGGAACACAGCCCCGTGCATTTGTTTAGGTAACGTCTATGACTGCTTTTATGCTACCTCGGCAGAGTTGAGTAGCTGCAAGAGAGAGTGTATGGCCCCCAAAGCCTAAAATATTTGCCATCTGGCCTCTTTTGGAAAAGTCTGCTGACTCCTGATCTAGAAGAAGCTCGAGCCTCACTTGAGCCAGGCCTGGCTGGCATACTTGAAATCCATCACTAGCCTGAACATTTCTGCAGGCTTCTCAGTTCTAATCACAGAAAGGCAGGTCCAGCGAGGATCTGACGGGACTCACCGGCTTCAGGAGCGAGGGGTTCCGAGAGTTCTCCTCAAACTTGGCCAGCAGCTGGCTCGCCATGGACTTCACCTTGTTCTGATTCCCACCTTCTTTGCTGCTGCCCTCTTGACTGGAGCCCAGGGTCCGGCTGGAAAAGGCGGAAGGCTGCGAAGGCCAAGGCAGTGCATTGGTTGTCGGATCCCAGAACTCAGACAGCAGGGAGGTGGCCTGGGGGCTCAGGACATGGGACAAATTTCCTGAATAAGGACGCCCTCTGAGGTCTGAGGAAGTGAGGCGGAGGCAGCAGGTGATACCAATGGAGATAATGCTCACAGGAGGGACATGTCTTCCCAAAGGCAGGCACACCCAGGCTTGGGAGCCAGACAGAGTTTGAATCCTAACTCTTTCACCTCCCAGCCCAATGACCTTGGCAATATACCTAACTTCTCTGAAGTTTCCTCATCTGTAAAATGGGAGCATAACCTACTTCACATGGTGGTTGCAAAAATCAAATATAATAATGAAGTGATGAGCAAAATAGTTTTCAAAATACATCACATGGGGCCGGTCCCCTGGCTTAGCGGTTAAGTGTGTGCGCTCCGCAGCTGGCGGCCTGGGTTCAGATCCCAGGCGCACACTGACACACCGCTTCTCCAGCCATGCTGAGGCGGAGTCCCACATACAGCAACTAGAAGGATGTGCAACTATGACATCCAACTATCTACTGGGGCTTTGGGGAGAAAAAGGGGAAAACAAAAAAAAAGAGGAGGATTGACATGGATGTTAGCTCAGGGCTGATCTTTCTCAAAAAAAAAAAAAAAAGAACTATCAAAATACATCACGTGCCTGCCAAGAGGTGAAGTGTAGGGAGGATGAAGGGGGTGTCAGTCAGGCAGCGCACAGGCTCTGAGCTTCTTTCTCCCCTCTCCTCTGCACCCCACTCCCAACTTCAACCAGTCCTGCTGTGGCTGCTATCTTTTAAAAAAAAATTTAATTTTGAAATAATTTTAGATTTACAGAAAAGTTACAAAGATAGCACAACGAGTTCCTACATACCCTTCACCCAGTTGCACCTAATGTTAACATCTGGAACAATCATGGTACTGTTATCAAAACTAAGAAATGAACACTGGCATGATATTAAACTATATATTTGATTCGGATTATAGTGGTTTCTCCACTAACGTCCTTTTTCAGCCCCAGGACACAATCCAGGATCCCACATTGCATTCAGCCATCAAGTCCTCAGTCCCCTCCCATCTGTAACTGTTTCTCCATATTTCTTTGTCGTTCATGACCATGACAATTTTGAAGGGGACTGGTCAGCTATTTTGTACAAAGTCCCTTCATCTTGGTTGGTCTGATGTGTTCTCATGACTAGACTGGGGTTATGGACTTTGGAGAAGGATCTACAGAGGTGAAGGGCCCTTCTCGTTGCTTTATTTCAGGGGACATGATATTGACATGACCTATGACTGCTGAGATGCTGGCTGTGGTGACTTGGTTATGCTGTTTTATAAAATGGAGTTCCATGTAAGATTTCTTTAGCTCATCTGCTAAAAATAAAACTTGGAAAGTTACCAGTGTTCATTGAATGCCTGTTCCCTCTTACCATAGGATCTGCTCCCATAGGCATTGCCATGTCAAGTGGGCAGTCTGCCTTCCCAGCAGACAATGAATCTCCCTCACGGAGCAGACATTCTCAAGACAACAAAGATGTGTTCACTTAGAAAGAATTCACGGGAAGAGGCATGCTATATAGCCAAATGCTGTTTTTTAAGATCCCCTAAGAGAAGCAGCCCATGGGAAACCCTGCATGCAGAGCCACTCCGATGTGTTGGAAAAACGCAAACCAGAGTGGCTCCCCACTTCAAAGTGGGAATGTGACTCTGCACATCAATATGGGCTTGAGTGCTTCTCAGACATCAATGTGCACACGAATCACCAGGATCTCCTCCCTGCAAAAGCAGATTCGGATTCAGCAGGTCTGGGTGGGCCCTGAGACTCTGCATTTCTAACCAGCTGCCAGCTGATGCCGATGCTGCTGGTTCTTTGAGCAGCAAGAATTTAGAAAGAATTATTGCTTGGTTAAATCTGACTTGTCTGCCAGCAAGACAGCTGGCCCAGAGAACAGTCCAGAGCCATCTCAGAAAGGGCAGGTGCAACCAGATTTCTTCCCACACTCTTAACTTCTGTGCTGCCATCAACAGAAACAGCACCAACACCCCCTCAAATAAACCACAGATGAAAGGCTTCCACTGAGACAAAATGTATCCAAGGGCAGCTTCTTGGGAGGAGGCAGGAGCAAACCATGGGCACTTAAGTGGAGATCCACACCCCGAAACTGGGGAACGTGATGTCTCTCCAGCCCAGTTAACCAGCCTCAGCTGCCTCCTCGCAATTCTCTCCCTATTCGCTGGCTTCTTGCTCGTACCAGAGCCGAGAATAACAGCTCTTCAACCATATAAGACAAGAGAAGTCTTTTCTGAGTCCTATAAATCAAGTATGAAGGTATCATACAATTTATCCCACGTGCCTCTGTGTCATCATTTTGACATTAGTCGGGAGGCTAGCTAAAGCTGGCACCCTACAGTTCACGGACAATCTCTATGCTTGCTTTTGTGGGATTAGAATGGCTTTTTCAAATGAAGCGTATATCTCGGGTCTCTTTAAAGAGCTGCCTGGGGAAGCAGGAACTGATACTTTCTTTTCCTGCTGATCAATTTTTCAGTAGCAGGAAAGAGATTTGTGCTTGGTTTCAACAAAGTAGCTTGTAATTTTATTCTTTCACCAGAAGGTGGCACTTGTGGGCACCGGGACATTTGCCTTAGAGACTAAAAGTGTCGAAAACACAAAAGGTAAACTGGGAGAAAAGTGGGACTGCTGGTGCCTCTTTACTACAGACTATTAATAGTGATTATATATTGATCAGCTCAGGTGCCGGCTATCATGCTCAGCATGTTATATACATCCTCTTATTTAATCTTTAAGAATCCTGCAAAGTTTCATACATTTCAAATGCATCATCTGTATTTTACAGACGTGAGCCACACCCCGGGAGGTTACGTTTCTCAAGGTTACATAACTAGTAAGTGGAGGGAGGACCAGAACCTGACTGTTTTTCTATCAAGCCAAGCTTGGAACCCAGTGGTTCATGAGAGGAAAGGAAGAACGGCCAGAGCTGCCACCGCGGTCCGGCGGGCCTGGGGCCACTGGCTTTCAGGCAACGGGCCTTTGTTTAAACTGATGCTGTGCACACGAACCTCGTCCAGGTTGTTGAAGCCTTTCCGCCTCCGTTTGTTCATGTCGTTCTCTTCGGGTTGGTGGTCCACCTGCAATGGCCAAGAAAGCCTGGTGAGCTCAGGGGCATCAAGGCTGCGGTTCCACTACAGCCCTGAGGCCACAGGGCTGGCCCTGAGCCAGCACTGGGGATGCATCCCTGCCTGCAGACAGCTGCCAGCCCAGGAGACAGACGGACGTAACTTACCCTGCACCGTGACAAATGCCATCACATTCTGTATGTCCAGGCACAGTGAAGGGAGACTTCCTCCACCTAGGGAGCCAGGGCTGCTATCAGAGGGGCGGGAATCACATCCCAAAAGATCAGGCTGAAGCATCCCAAAGCACAAAGAATCCCTGGGACATGGGCAGGGCAGGGATTGTCCCCACTGTCAGCGTGACTTTGGCTCAGAGCAGTCACAGCCAGACCTGCTGATGTCCCCCCATGTGCTGCCACGTGGAGACCATCTCCTACAAGGAGGTGGTACTGCTCACCTTACAGGCAGGGATTCTCTGGACTCAGATCAGGATTTGTCTAGGGATTTGATGGCAAATTATGCCTGCCATTCATAGCTACCAGTAAATGATATTTTATTAACTCCAAAGCAGCATCAGATACGGTCTGTCAACTACAGTGACCATACAGCCCAGTTTGCCCAGGACGGTTTTGATTTACTGCTTTTTTCCCCAGCGTAATTATTTATAGTGCTCCCTTTCACTCTCAAAACGTATCCTGGTTTAGACCATAAATCACATGGTTGTCCCACTGAGAGGCCCTTATATTCTCCTCTCTGCTGCCCGAATCTGAACATTTAAGTGCCGGGAACCCCGCTCTACTCAAGCTCATTGTGTCAACCCTGCAACGGCCACACCCACTGTCAGGCTTGTCTCCTCAAGGGAATGAGAGGGGCTGCACAGGCAGCTGATGCTTTGGGCTGGGATGCTGGGCTGGATTTAGTGCCTCCTCTGCACCATGCCCAGTAAGAGGATCCTTGACACTGGGTTAGACCTCTCTACCACCAGTCTCCAGCTGGGGCTTCTCCAAACGGCCAGCGCCCTGAGGACCATGGAGCCATCCCCACCAAGCATGTGGGGGATGGCTCCATGGTCCCCCAGAGGGGCCTTCCCTCCGCAGCAGGCCCAGATTAAATCCCAGCCCTTGTGCCACTTGGGCTGCAGTAGGAAAGGCTGCTGTCCACACTCTCCCCTCGGACCCAGGCGTACAGTCCGGCCAGCCCCACACATCCCTCCTCCCCTTGCCCAGTCGCAGGAGGATTCTTTCAGCTCCTGGTTGTTCTGAAACATCCCGCACACAGTCACTACCTACCCCGCTGCTTCCAGGGGCAAGCACCTGTTCTGAGCTCTTCCACTCCCCATCACTCCGCCCCGGCCCCGCCCCATATGTATTAGCGCCTTTTTTTTGCTTTTTAAGACAAGATCAACTGGTTTAATCATTCATATTTGTTCAACCCTTCCCTTGCCCAGGCAGCACAGAACAACAGATCAAAGGGCCCCGCCTCCCCTTCAACATTTCCCTCAGCTTCTAATAAATCATTATTCTGTGAATGGAAATGATTTCAACCCAAATGCTTGGGCAAACACCAAGAGAAACAGATGACCTTATTTTCAACAACGTTGGGTCTTAGAGGCCCAGGCTGTCTGAATGCCATGCTGGCCCGGAGACTGGAGCCTGTGAAAGTACAGGATGTCCTCCCCACCGGGAACACTTCATGCAGACTCTTAGGGTTTCTGTTGTTTTTTTGTTTCCACCTTAAATGGGGACTTGGCTTTTCCCTCAAAGAGCAACACATGTTGCTCTCTTGCATTCAGCAGCCAGGGGAGCGACTGTTCCAACAGAGCCTGTATGGATCCAAACCCAGTACTTTAGCTACAGGCGCAGAGAAAGCACTCCTGGCAGGGGTGTGCCCAGGAGCAGCGGCTAAGAAGACCCCAAAGCCTTCAGGGGGAATAAAGGAAGTGGGTGGGGCCACCCCAGCTCCTCCAATTCAGCCTGACCTTGGGACAATAACATCCAGTCTACATGGAAAGGTTAGCAACATACATACCCAAATGGCCTCTACTCTTCCTTCTGGATTTACCAAGGAATTATTGACCCTCAACCAAGAGCTCGGCTAAAACAAAAAGGTGGAGAAAACGCAAATCTAGGGGTTTACCTAATGTTTTCACATCTGCATATCTCTATTTGGGAGCCTCAGGAGCCCCATCTCCTTGGACTCTATTTGCTCTATAAAGAATTGGGTAGTACAAGGGGCCAGCCCCATGGCTGAGTGGTTAAAGTTCCACGTGTTCCACTTTGGTGGCCCGGGTTTGCTGGTTCGGATCCTGGGTGCAGACCTATATCACTCACCAGCCATGCTGTGGCCGTGTCCCACACACAAAAAATAGAGGAAGATTGGCACAGATGTTAGCTCAGGGCTGATCTTCCTCAAGCAAAAAAAAAAGGAAGATTGGCAACAGATGTGAGCACAGGGAGAATCTTCCTCAGCAAAAAAAAAAAAAAAAAAAAGAATTGAATACAAGAAGGGAGAAAATACTTACTGTGCCCAGTCAGAGAGAGCATGAGATTAAACAACTCACTTTCTCTTCCTATTAATTTTTTCCTGGCCTTTCACCCTAAGAACACTTCCTTATCATGATTTCCCAATGATGTGAAAGATTCTACATACCAAAAGTCATTTATTAAACTAATTGGAGTTTCCATTTAAAAAAAATCAACGACATAGATCTGCCAATCTGATCATTTATTTGATCAGCACAAGATAACCATGTTCCCATACTGCCTGACGTAATGTGATTTTAGCCGAAAGCAAACAAACTTTAGATTGTTAGCCTAGTGTAGCCAAACCCTGGAGAAATTTAGATCTGGGTCATAGTAAGAGAGATTGGCCATTGCAGGCAATGGCCTGGTTGAGTAGGGAGGCAGCCATGACATTTAGAAAGATGGCCAGTGACTCTAGCAAGAGAGATCTCTTCTTCAATGGCAGAGCAATGAGTCATGGGTTTGAGTTCTGGCACTAATTACTTCCCGGCTGTATAACCTTAAGAAAATCACCTAACTTCTCTGACCTTCTCGCCTGTAAGGTATTATATATTTAGCTCCTAAGTTGTTGTAAGGATTAATGAAATGATGTATGTAAAACACTTCTTATAATATAAAGTGTTATATGCTAGTTAGTATAATTAGAAAATCTGAATTCTAGTTCTGACTTTGACATTTACCACCTATATGACATCACAATTTAATTTCCCTACATCCAAGGTTCCCCATCTCTAAAACTAGGACAAGAATACATCCCTTGCCTTCCTCAGAAGGTAACAGGAGGGGCAAATGAGACATATACAAAACTGCTCTGTGTGCTGTGATGTGCTGCCTCGATCACGGTGCAAGACAGAACCAAGTGTTCAATCCAACTAGTTTCACTCATCTTTTCCAAAAACGAGCATCTTCATTTAATCCATATTCCCGCAGGAGAGAGACTCATTTGTGGAGCCCCTTCTACGTGCCAGAGAAGGCGCTCAGAACTACAGCACGAATCTGTTCATGTTATCTTCACAGCAATGCATTCAATGCAATGTTCATGTCATTACCATCATTTTGCAGACAAGCAAAGGACCTTTCTGAGAGGTTCGAACATGTGCCAAATCCCCAGCAGACCTAAATACGTATTTGTCTGCCTGGCTTCAAGGTGCATTCTCATCCTATAAACCAGCTCAGAATCCCAGGCTGCGGTTGTACAGAGCACAGGAGAGACAGCAGCTGACAAACCACAGGTGCAGGAGGGGCTGCGTAGGGCCCTGCACTTGCTGAGCTGGGCAGCATCAGGACCCAGTGTTCTGGACTCTCCCAAACCACCTTCAAATCTCTGAGCTGAGAGGTCCTGGAAACCTAGCAGGGAGCTTGGGCTGCTGGGTGGGTGGTTCTGTGAGAGCAGTTGAGGAAGGGGAGTGAGAGGAACTTGGGAGTTCCGCTAAAGTTCAGCTCCTCGGGCAGGGTCCTTGCTTGTCTGGTTCACTGCTCTACCCCCAGCACCGAGGAGAGAACTCAGCGTGAAACAGGCGCTCAGTAAACACATGTTGAATGAACCCACGAATGAAGGAAGCACTTTCTTACATAACACTCCCAGCTCTCTGGAAAGTGTTGTGCAGGAGGGTCAAGCAGAGGAGAGCTGGGAAGGGGGTCCTGGACTACTCAGACCAGACACGGACACGAGTCATGTTAGGTGAACTCTCCTCTACCGGGGACCAGTGCTGGAGGAGGACCTGGGTAAATATCCCAGGGCCACCGACCTGGCTTCTGGGATGGGCTTTTCATCGACAAGTGACAACTTCTGTGTTATCTGTCCTCTAAGGAGAGGACTCAGAATGGGGAAAACAAAGATGAGGTACCCTGAGTATGTAAGGAATGGAACGTGTGTGAGCACTGAAGCAGCCATAAATGCAGGCATCACCCATGTGTGGTAGGTCTAGGAGAGCACACAGGAGGACAGAGACCATGTACGCATGTTCAGATGTCACCTGCAGTGCATGGTGACAAGAGCTCTGAAGTCCTCAGGAATTGTCCCAGGCCACGACCAGGATCAGAGCCAGATCTACAGAAGCAGACCAAGGCCTTTTAGAGGAAAATATAGTCCCCAAGCTCTTCTTCTTTCCCAGGCGAGGGCCATCCAGTCTTAGAGCCAATCAATCAACCCCAGTAGGTTACCACTCAGCAGAGGGACAACCCTCTTGGTGGATGGATGGGAGAGTTACTCTCTCTAAAAGTAAACAAGGTCCTTACGGGAGGAAAAGTCTTTTATTTTGCCTGAAGTTGATCAGTCTTGCTGGGATTTGGACTTTATCAAGGTTAAGGATAAGAGAAGAATTTAACACCAACAGTGAAAACCAGGAGGCAGAGAGATTTTTAAGACTAGATCAGCAGAGAAACAATGAACCCTCTACAGATTAAGATGCTACATTGTGAACAAACGTGGGCTGCTCAATTTCCATATCAAGATGCTCCTCTGGAAGTTAGTGAGGGGGTAGGGAGGGGCAGGGAGGGATGGGGAAGGAGGTGAGATCGAATACAGATGCACTGACACGTACAGATATTGTGTGTGCGCAATAGTGCAGAATCACGCAAGCGTGGTCTAGCCCGCATCTCTAGTCCACAGGGACACGTGAGCTAAGGCACTGAGGGCTGCATGTCTAACTGCAGTGACAGCTTCTGGCTGTAACCGTGGTGGAGCCTCTGTGTGTGTGTGCAGTTTTCAGAATCTCCTGTGCAGACATCCTCCCTGTCCGTCCAGGGACAAACTGGAGAGGATTCATCACTCTTTGTTTGTGAGAAATGTTAAGACCAAAGAGCATTGCAAATTGGTTCCCCAAACGAAAAAAGTATCCAGATATAAGAAGACACATGGTCGATGGGGAGAAAGTACTTTGTGTGTGGTCTCAATCACTGCACTGGCATTGAGTGGTGGATAATATGCTGGGGTATTTCAGTGATGTCAAGGCAGAATGTGACCCAGTGGCCTTAGTAATCTGCCAACCCACCCAGAGGAAGCATTCGGTGGGTTTGAGGAGAAAGAGAAGGACAACTGATGACCACGCCAGGCACTTACTCCAATGACCAAATCTCTCTACCTATCCAAAGAGCAGGGCAGATTTTAGACATTAAATGGGGCCGTGTGAGGGATCAGATCTGTGGGTCTTCACCCCTCTCAAGACGGGCAGCCAAGGGGCACACACTAGAGGCAACTGGGCATGAGTCACAGTCATCCAGGGCAGGGCTGGGCACCCGCTCCCACTGCCTTTCCTACCAGAGCCAGCAGGAAGTGGAGCGAGGACCCAGCGGCTCTCAGAGGGCCTTACCGGCTTGCTCACAGTTGACTTTTGACCATCCCTACCTCCTGAGCCAGAGCTGGCCAGGCTGTTTCAAGTCAGTCACTCTGCAGACAGAGATATGGCAAGTGAAAGGTTTCAACATTCCTCTCAGCCCCAGCTGCGGGCTAAGTGGTGGCAGAAACTGGGTGAGTGGGGAAAGGTGCCTGGCTCAGAGAGCTTCCAGAAAGGCTGCACTGGCTTGCTGGGGCGGGGCGGGGGGTGGGGGAAGGGGGCAGCCCAAGGCAGGGGTACTTGGGCTTCTGAGGAAAAATGGCTGGGCTGGCACAGAACAAGCTGATGACGGGTCTCCAGAAGCTGTCTCTCAGTGGGACATACGATGGGCAATGCAGCCCTCATGCAGAGCCTCTGAATGGGGCAGCTCGGGGAGCCGACGGGAACAGAGCTGCTGGGTGCAGCTCAGGCTTTGGCCGCTCTGCTGAAACCCCTGGCCGACCTGCACACCTTCCTTCCTCAGCCCCAGCCCTGCTAGCCCACTCCTTCCCCTAGGACGGGAGAGACAGAGCAGTAAGTACCCCGGTCCTGGAGTTAGAGCAACTGCCACGACATTCCAGGGAACGCAGACCTCAGCGGAAAAAGTGACGGTTTTTCCCACAGCCGAGGGAAAGAAAGGAGGCCACGTGGCCCCAGCCCTACCCTCGGCGGAGGGGCTGGCAGGACGAGGCATGGCTGGACCAGGGTTAAAGTATATTGGCAACTTAGAGAGACTGAGACACATGCAGAGGCCCGCAGCCCTCTGCCAAGTGAGGGGAGTGTGGGGAGGGCTCCCTGCCCCTGGGGAGAGAAGGCAAGCTCCAGGAGAGTCCTTGCAATCTAACATCTCTAGGCCTTCATTTTTTATTTGTAAAATGAGCACATTAAGCAAGATAACTTGTATTATACCTTCACTGGAGATGTCATTATTCAAATAATATCATTTCTCATTAGGCCCCTGGTTCCCAAACTATGTACCAAGGCACCCCATGGCACCCTAGTGAACTCACAGAGGAGCCACAGGATATTTTAAATTTTCTAGGGAAACACAATGACATCTGTCATACATCTTGCAAAATATCCCTACCAAGTTATTTGGACTTAATTGATAAACAGAACTTTTAGGTATTTCTTTTGACCTAGGGGCACTGTGAAAAAAATTACTGACACTAAGGATGCCATAAGTTGGGAAAGTTTGGGAACCTCTTTATTTGGCTCTGAGCTCCTCAAAGACAAGGACCATATATTATTCATCTCTGTATATCTGCTCTCCTCCTCAAAAACAATAAAATAATTCAGGCCTAAATTTGGCATACAGTGGTCCCAATAAACAATTGTTGAGTGAATGAATAAAAACAATTAATGGAACAGAGTGTGTAAATGTAGCATCACCATACACCTCCACTAAATGGCCATTGTGTTCCTGATCTAAACTGTTTAACAAAGTGAGAAATCATCTCCTCTTCCCCACTTAGGAGGCAGAGCTAATCTGGTTTACTTTTAAAAATCCTCACCAGCGTGTCCGCTCAGTTCTCTACCACGCCCTTCCTAGAACTACTTCTGTCATTAAAGCTAGCTACACAGTGCCGGGGGGGCTGCCACAAACTCTCGATCACCAAAGTGAGATTTACTTTTGTCTTCTGCGAGCGCTCGATCTGTGCAATTTATCAGCATAAACCCTCGGAGAGCGTGACATTCTCCCTTCCCCTCACCCCATCCACACGCAAAGAGAAATAAAACAAAAACCAGGCCGAAACTTACTCGTGGAGTCCTCTTCCTTGGAAACGTGAGGTTGAGATAGTGGTGAGAAATGGAGGATTTGGCCAAGCTGAGGTCAGCATTTTCTCCATAGTTTTTGCCCCAAGAATCTGTTGGGAAAGAAAAGTCTGACTAAGATTTGGATCCTGCACTGCTCCCCCGGGGCTCAGGGGTGTCACTGCTACAGGTCCCTCCAAAATAATTCCCTCACCCCAAACTGAAGACGTAAATGGCCTGGGTAGGGGGTGGAGGCAGCTCTGTCAGTGACCTCCCAATGACCGGGGCAGATCCTCAGCCCCACGTGGCCCTTGCCACACAGACCCCCTTACACACATGAGTCTGGATGTGGGGTCCACCCATCTGGCTTAGAGTCAAAGGGAAGGCCTTTCAGCCCCAGAACAGATGACACTAGTGTGAGGAGCAGCCAGACGTGGGCACAGGGCTGAGATAGCTCAAGGGACGAGCAAAATCTGGTCCAAAAGCAGGTCCTTACCCACAGGCCTCAGCGGGGTGCCCCGGAAGAGCTCGTAGAACTTGGAGAGGTACATGACCATGCTGAGCTTGTCGGGCTCCTGAGCTGACGCCATCTCCTTGCCTGTGGTCACCGGGGGGATGCCAAACTCACGCTCGGCCACGTCAAATGCCAGCTGGTTGTTCTCCACGGCGTCATCTTCGTTCAAAGAGTCAAAGTTGCTGGAGAATAGAAACAAGGGGAAGTTCAGGGAGAGGAGATAGGTGTGAAGAGCTGAGCAAACTCAGGCCATGAGGATCACTGTGGGTGACACCTGCCAGGTGTCTGCAGGGGTTCGGGGATGAGGAGCAAAGGAGCAGTGACCTCAGCCCCTGCCCCCAAAGCACCCCCTTCCCGCCATCGCCTCAGCTCCTCAGGGAGGCTCAGCCAGGAGAGGCACCAACCTCGTCCTTCTCAGTCAGGGAGGGACCAAATCAGATTTAGGCCATGATAACATCATTGCCGCCTGGGCCAAAACATCAGAAAATGATTTAAGTCTCTTTGGAAAATTTATAAGCTACTTTAAAGTATTTCCTTTACGTGGGGCCGGCCCAGTGGTGCAAGCAGTTAAGTGCGCACGCTCCGCTGCGGCGGGCCCGGGGTTCGCTGGTCCGGATCCCAGGCGCGCACCGACGTACCGCTTGTTAAGCCATGCTGTGGCGGTGTCCCATATAAAGTGGAGGAAGATGGGCACGGATGTTAGCCCAGGACCAGTCTTCCTCAGCAAAAAAGAGAGGAGGATTGGCATTGGATGTTAGCTCAGGGCTGGTCCTCCTCACAAAAAAAAAAAAGAAAAGAAAAGTATTTCCTTTACATTTTCTTCCCTTTAATTACAAAACTAATATGGGCTTCTTGTAAAAAAAAGAATCAAGTTCTGTATAACATATAAAGCAACAAGTGAGAGCCCCATCTCCTTCTCAAGGCAACCTGACTTCCTAAAGGAACCACTCGACAAGCCTTTGGTAGGTTTCTTTTGGCATTCTGGATGAATTTCCTCATGGGTGTGAGGTCACACTGCAATGATTTAAATATAACATCAACAGATGTATCATGCTTTCAACATCACAAAGTGTTTCCACAAACATAATCCGAACTTTCTAATGATCCTGCCATTATTACCAATTTATAGATGTAGAAATAAACTCAGAGAAGATAAGTGGCTTGCCCACTGGTACACAGCTAATGGATCTGGGTCTCAAATCTAATTCTCTTCACTGTAAAACCCTCACACTAGTCCCCAGAGTTAAGTCCTGCCCATGATTCTCCTGAGGGCAGAGCTCCAAGGTGCAAATGCTCAAATTTCCCAGGTGTGGTGATGGTGGGGGCACAGGGGTGAGCACAATCATGGAGCCGGGGGCACTCTTGCTCCTCACATATCAGGAACACCGATCAAACATGTTGTTGCCAGAGCAATTAGTGTAATGGGAAAAGACCAAAGGTAAAAAAAACTCAAATCGAAAATACGCAAAGAGAAATATTGAACCAAGTTCTGAAGATTCTGCATCTACAGAACAGCCCTGGTTTCCCGTCTCCAGGGTCCCCTTGGGCCGTGAGGGGCTTGGCAGGTCCATCCTGGTCCCCAGACTCACATCAGCTCAGGCCGGAAGCGGTGGATGATGGCACACAGGGCCAGGCCACTCCTCCAGGACGTGGTCAGGTCGGTGACGTTGACATGCTGGTAGCCCTCGGTCTGCTGCTGGCACCAGGTTAAGAGCTTGCTGGGTCGGATGTCTGACTCTGCAGTAAAGGGAGAAAGACCATAGTGAAGTACTCTGGGAAAATCTCAGTAGCTCCCCTCTGACTGCCACCATGGCTGGGGACCAGGAGGAATGGCACCAAGGCAAGGGGCCACGGGCACAGGTGCTGCCCACTGAGCAGGCCCCATCAAAAGCATGGCGGGAGGGCAGGATGCCGGGACAGGAAGCATGCTCTCCTGCAGCAAAGAGTCCCTAAGACCCCCTCTGCCAGGCCTCAGTTAGAGGCTAGATACACAGAGGCGAGGACGATGTGGACTCTGCCAACATCTCATCTGTGGGGAAGACAGACATGGAAGCAGGTACTGATGACACGGTGCTGCCATGGTGGAGAAGCAAGGTGCTGCGGACGCATGTGAGCAGGTTTGCCGAGTCTGCCAGGGCAGGGGAATTCGCCAAAGAAAGAGTTGTAAAGGAGGCGCATTTGAGCTGGTTCTTGATGAGCATCTAGGAATTCATCAGATAGAAGAAGGCATCCCAGGAAAACAGAAAGGACTGTGCTGTGGCAGGGAATCTAGAAAACCTGCCATGTTTGTGTGAGATGGTCTGTTATAGGGGTGACAGCGCTGGGACGTGTGGCGTGCGGAGGGAAGGGAGGAGGGGCTGGGAGGGCTGAGTTTGCCCAATGGTGGGGAGGACACAAGGTCTGGACAGCCAACGGTAGCCAGAGAGGTCTCTAAGTGGGCCAGTGATCCAAGCACAGCCAGACGGATGCTCGGGCTGTCATTCATTTAATCACCCCTTCCCTTTGCCACTTGTGCCCAGCGCTGTGCCAGGCCCTGAAAGACCAGGAAGAGTCAAGCACACGGAGCTTGTTATCCAGCTGGGGAGACAAGACCTCCACACTGGAAACAACAGGAAAAGAAAGGCAAGACCGGTGAAGTAATCCCACATCGAATCCCACTTTAACGTGCTGAGTGCTCAATGCATATTAACTCCTTCTCAATGATTCTACGATTCTACGGTAGGTGTTATCCTTGTCCTGCTGTCACAGGGGAGGAAACTGAAGTACAGAGGAGAGGCGCTGGCCAGGGTCTCACAGTTCAGACCAGAGCCAGGCTGGCTACAGGGCCTGTGCCCCCACGGCCACCAGGCAGGACCCTCCCCACAAAGACCCTCCAGTGGCCTGGCCAGGGTCCATGAGAGCCACTTACCCCGCCTGGAGAGGTTGACAGATCTCCTTAGTGAGCCCATCCTCTCGACAGGGAATTGGTGCAGCTCCTTAGTGATGTACAAATGCTTCACCTACGAGCAGAGAGATCACACGGCTGCCCACCAGGTTGCCCCCAAAGCCCAGGCTCAGGGTCTCTGAACTCAGCCCCCGCTACTCAATGTCGGCCACCCTTTTCCTCCAACACAGGAGGGCATGACCTTCAGCAAGGGAACCCAGGCAACTCAGCACATGGAGCAACAGATCCCAATTATCCACCCAGATGTGGGAGAACGCAAGTGAGAATATATGTAATTGATTATTTTAAAAATTCACAACTTTCTTTGCGCTATTGACTGAAGAGGTTGGGGGTTACGTGGCTCTGACTCAACGGGAGAAAAAATAGACTCTAGGACTGTGGATGGAAAGGACTCAATATTTGGCCAAGAAGATTCTTTGAGAGAGGTACGCTTAGCAACACAAATGTGTGACGACAAAGAAACATATGTAAACAGACGTACATATGTGGACACACACTTATATGTGTTCCATTTCTCTCCTGTGGGCCAGAGAGATGCTGACTCTATTTACTCCTATGCTTCTCCTAGAGAGAGGAATTGGTCCTGCCTTTGGGCCAAGAGGCATTGGTGGCCTCAGTCCCAGGGATGTGCCAGGATTTTAGGTGATCCCTTCCCAGGGCTCAGTACAGGGTGACCCAGATGGGGCCTCAGGAAGGACCCACCTGATGGGGCCTGACACAGTTCGAGTTGAGGTTTGGGTACCGCGTCCCCGGGTCCAGCGTGTACTGCTCAAAGTTCTTGTTGATGTTCTCTGGGGTCGTTTGAGGTAACAGCCGGTAAAGACCTTCTCTGGAGGGAGGCAGAGCCCTGGGGTCAGGGATTGCTCTTGCGGCCTCGGGCCCCCCGTCTGCCCCCTGCGTTCAGGGCTTCTTAGACACGTTTGTATAACCCCTCCCTGCAATGCCTGGCCCTCGTAGTTCTTGAGATCTGCAAAGCGGGGGAGGGTCAAAGGGGCCGAGAGGAGGCAGGGACGCAGAGGACACTCGCCCCCTCCCCGGGCAGAGGGCGGGGACGCAGAGCTGGCAGCACGGCAACCTGAGGTTTTGCTATAACCCCCACTCAGCCACGCAGCCTCCTGTGGCCTGTGCTCCATGACCACAGGCTTCCACACCGAAGATCAGCAGAGGCCTGTCCCCACCCACAAGCCCTGACTTCTCCCAGTCCACCAGCTGTCACAGCCACGTGGCCGGCAGCAGGGGTCTGGGAGGAAGCCCAGGATCTCCGCAGTGGAAGAAGCCTGGTTGGTCAGAGAACCAGCCTCCAGCAGGGTGGACTCAGCGCTGCAATGAAGGCCCCTCTAAATAAATCTCTTCTGGCCCCTGAGCAGTGCCAGGAACCCCAACTTCAGGGCCCCCCAAGATGAAGATTTCTCTTTGGCATCCAGGGCCTAAGGTCGTAGCCCCCAGAGAAAGTCACTGAAGGAGGTAGATCATGGTGGAGAAAGTTTCCTCGGGGACCCGGATGATCAAATCAGGCCACATGTGAGAAGGCAGATGAGAGGGGACAGAGGCTCCAGGTTCACCCAGGAGCTGCCTGAGGGCCAGCCTCGCTCCCTCTCCCGCCTGAGCCTTTCACCCGGCCCTGCCCCCAGCTGGGAGCCCAGCTGTCGACCCTCACCTTTCAGCCAGCAGCTCCAGGGGAGGAGTGCCCTGGTCCCAGCCCTTCACCATCCACGCCGTGTCAAAGGCTGCCAGGAAGCCGCGGGCACAGCCTGTGCCCATGGGCCAAAACGGCTGCAAAAGAAAACATGCAAAACCCCAGCTGATTCTAACCAGTCCCAGGCTGCTCTCCCACTCTGTCCAGCACTGCTGATCACCAGGCCCATGCAAGGCACTGGCAGGACAGAGAGGCAACATGGCAGCCCACTAGGATTCACCACAAACACAGAGACCTGTAGCATAAAGTCATACATAAAGGGTGCTATGACACAGGGACAGCAAAATGCTCTGGGGCTCAAAAAAGTCAGAGGCAAATTCCCACCCTGGGGGAGAGGGATGGAAAACGGGGCATGCTTCATACAAGAGTGGCACTTATGCTGATTTTAAAGAATGGATAGGATTGTGATCTTGATCCATTCAGGAATAGCGTGGGCAAAGGCTTAGTGGCTGAACCTCATGGAAGAACAGCCCGTCTGGCTGGGCTAGAACAGAGAGCATGGGAGGAGAGAGACAGCTGAGAAGGGGGACTGTGACAGAAGTACTTAACCAAGGAGCTTAGGTTAGAGTCCACACGCCATGGCGAGCAAGGAGTGACTCACCGAGCTAAGTTCTAACTAAACTGTCCCATGTGCACCCACAGCGTCGTTTGGAATTTGACTCTTACTTGTGACAAATACACAAACATTTTTTAGTTAGTGCTTACATTAAAGATAAAAATTTATCCCTTCTGAAAGCAGTCACTTAATCTAAGGATCCTTGTACTTGTAGATTTTTCTGGGAAGAATTTTGAGCAGGGAGGCCATGAGCGGAAACTGGACTTTGTGGCGCACACACTTTTCTCGCATCCTACACAATCTCCATATTGAAAGGCTACAGAGAGCCACCCACGTGAGGAAGAAATCTCGGCCCAGCTGAGGGTCTGCACGCTCTGAGAAGGATGGCCTGTGTAGTCCAGACCAGGGCCGCCTATTGCGTACTTCAACAGAGTTTAGCCCAGAAAAACCCAGAGCTGGAAGAGAAACTCTCCTGCCTATACACAGGCAGAACTGGCTCCTCTGAATTAGTGCAAGGGCAGCCTCCGAGGCCAGGTGGGGCTCCGCAGAGTCTTGCCAACTGGCTGAGAGCCCGTCCTTCCTCCAGCTGCATGACAGCAGATGCTGCAAGCCAGAACATAAATGCAGGCATCTGTCTTCTAGCAGGAACGAGGGGGCGCCAAACGTAGACAGTACCTCAAGCAAGCTGTCGCCCACCAGGGCCACGAGCAGCTGGTGTGACTGACGCTCGCGCACCAGGGCCGCGTTCTCTGAGGCGTACATGGAGGTGAAATCGAACATGGCCACGTCGGGCTGCCCATAATGGTTCATGGCGAAGTCTAAAGATGGCAGCTGGTAATTGGTGGCGAAGTCTGCAGCTTCACGAGCATAGGAAAGCAGGTTGTCCTGGTTTACGTTCTCTGCACACAGCAGCATCTCTGTGTCGATGTAGTCCTGGGGGGAAGAACAAGAGCACAGTGCAGCAACCCACCCCTCTAAAGAGCAAGGATTCACACCCTCTTCTTTGTAAAAGGACTTGGAGTGGGTTTGTACAGTAAGGCTAATCAGAACAGACATAGAAAATCCGGGCCAAGGGAATAAAGAGGAACCACGTCAGCCATCTGCGAGGGTTAACAGAGTTGTGATTAAGCATCAAATTTGGCTTCGAGCTTCCTGGCATCCAAGACAAAAGAGAAATGTGACATATTACAGGGCTTTTCTTATCAGAAAGAAGGAAGCATAGAAATTCCTTAGGGGAGGATTATTTTCCTGGCACTCAATTCTAAAAGCACTGTCTCACGTAGGAATTTCGACAGAGAATGTTGTGTTGTAATGAACAGTGTACTCAGTAACGGTCTTGCAGCAAATGGAGAAGTGTATTTCATATGGCTGGTTCTTGTGATAACTTTCAAAAAAATTAAAAGGCAAAGCCTTTTAATTTAAGGAATAAGTGAGAAAGAGTGATTTTATAATGGACTGACCTAAGCCGTCGTCCTGTTATGCTGCGTTCCACGGTCAAACAAGATCAGAAAAGAAATGGGTGCTTGACGGAACTCACAGACCTTCTCTCCACAATCAGTTACCCCTTTTCTCAACAGGCTGAGGGCGACTCAGGGCCCTGCTTTGCTCTTACAGTGTTCATTGTTATACTTCCCTGCTTGGAGGGGAGAACCCCGAGCTTAGAGGACTAGGATATTCATCCTGGAGGGATACCGGCAAGGAACTGTAGGACATCTCCCAGAGTCAAATCTGCTCATCGTGCGGCTAAAGGAACTGAAAGACTATCTTTCCTAAAAGGTGACACAGAAAGTGCATAGGCCAGGATGGCGGTGGGAGGCGACAGGGACTGGTGTTTAAGACCAACACAGGCCTTAGGGTCACCAAGAGTAACAGGTCAAATTCCACCTCTGCTGTTTACTGACTGCGTAAATTGGGACAAGATATTGAACGCTTCTGTATTTCCACTTTCTTGTTTGTAAAATGGGAATAACAAAATCTACTCCACAGAGCCGTGCGAGGACCAAAGGAGACTGTCCTCATGTCAGAACGAGACATGAAATCCCAGCCCTGTGCCCGGCACACGCGAAGTGCTCCATGAAGGAATTCCTGTGCCCAGTAATTCACGATGGCATAAGACACAGCATATGGTGAAGTACATTCTGGACCCACCTAAGGCACCAGCCAGGGCATTTACAAAGGTCTTAGAAGGCACGGCCTCATCTACAAACAGAGTGACCAACTGTGTCAATTTTCTACAGAGTGACCAAACTGTGTCAATTTTCTGTAAACACAGTGACCGACTGTGTCAATATTATCAAGAGCCATGATTTCAAATACCCTGTTCTGGAAATTCTAACATTTCCACATCCAAACCACATCACCCAAATGTACCCATGTTGGCCCCAGAGCCCTTTATCAGGTCACAGGGTCCAGGCTGGAGCTCCTGCTCTTTACTTTCCTTTCTCATACTTGTCCCTACAGTCACATGATCACTTCCCTTCCTTGAAGGTGTGGAGAGGAGATGGGGAAGAGTGAAACGGAGAGCTCTCAAAAATACCCCCCTCTTAAAAACATGCCCCAGCACTCCTGAGGGGGACAAGTGAGGGGTGAACGGGGACATTGTGCAATGAAGGCAGAGCCTGGTCCTGATGCCCAAGCAGGAGTGTGGGGGCCTGGCAAAGGGAGCAGACCCCCAGGCTGCACTGGGGTGACAGCCCACCTGGCCCAGGGCTGCTGGGAGGAGCGGTAGGGCCCTGCAGGGCAGGAGGTCCCAGGCGAGAGGGTGGACAGCAGAAGCAGAATGTAGGGAAGGGGTGAGAACAAGACCAAGAGAGAAAAAAGTGCGAATGAGGCTGTAAGTAAAGTGGGCAGGCCCAGGGAAGCAGTTCTAAAGGAAGATCAAGGCAGGGGGATGGTGTGGGCCTCATCTTCCACAGGCCTCGGGTCCTGGAGAGAGGCTGGATCCTAGACAGAGAGGTGGGGCGGTGGGAGGGAAGCAGCAAAAATGAGCAAGGGGTGGGGAATCCAAAAGGAAGATAGTCACCCAAGTGGTGAGCTGGAAAGAGGCTGTAGATCAGAAGAGAAAGTCAGGCAAGGCCCATCTAATGCTTCCAGTGAGTGCAGACTCAGCATCCGGAGACTAGCTGTGATGTGCGTCCACCTCATACACCTGGCAACCAAGCTTGCTCTGTCCCAATGTGGTGACACCAAGCCTACCGCATCCAGGAATCCTAGCCTGCATGTGTGTGGGCCAGCAGAGGCAGGGTCCAAGGGGGAAAGGCTATCCTCCTTGTCGGCGAGAGCACGATGGACACAGCTGGGAGCCCAGAGGCATGGTTTCTGGAGGAGAAACTTTACTCCCCCTTCAATAGCCTAGAAAGAAGCCTAGAGATCAGGAGGAATAGAAAGAGAAGCAGATCTGTGAGTCATTCAGTGAACACCCACCCAGCACCTTCTGTGTGCCTTTAGGAAGATGCTGACCAACACAGGAAGAGGAAAACAGAGACGACTCGTCATTTCTCCAAGAGCAAGAAAAGAATGTTAATTTAAGAGGCTCGGGTAGATGGGTCAGCTTGCAGCTTATGCAAATGCTGTAGAGCTTAGCTGGACACCTGGAGACTCAGGCCAGAGCTCCTGAACCAAACGAGTATCCAGTTCTCCCACGTCCAGCCTAAGGCCTCCAATTTCTAGATGAAAGTGTGCGTCTTACACCTAGAGGCCCCTCAGCACCAGCTCAGAAGATGCTCCTGGAGTCTCTGAGGGAGAAGGAAGGCCTTGGTGAGGTCCACAACCAGCCCGGGATCTGCTCCCAGCTCCTTCACAGTAATGATGGGACTAAGGCGAGTCACTCTTGCCCAGCTGTGCCATGACAGAACCTGAGACAGAGTATGGAGGGGCTCTGACAACTGCGAAGGAATTGAGTGACCATGAGCAACATGTCATGGCCTGGACAAATGCCCTGGGATAACGGAGGGAACGTCAGCATTCCATAAGGCTGGAGCACTCAGCTAGTGAAATAGGAAACTCAAGTCAAACTTTGCTTGACACTTCGTGGCAGGGGTGGGGGGGATGGGGAGGGGGGGATGCTGGCAAAGGCCTCCCCAGCCCCTCCTCTGCAAAGGTGCCCACCCCTGGTTGCTGAGGGGTCCTTCACTACTAACACAGGCATCCCAACAGAGGAGTCAACTTCCGGAGGGACGCCTGTGGAGCAGAGGGAAGAAGCGGACACCGCCTCGCCTCCCCCAGCCCGGGTCAGCAGTGGGGCGCCAGATGTTGAAACCCATCACTCACACAGCTGCTGGCTGTGCTCAGTCAGCTTCATCCAACCCCCACGTCCTCATTCACAGCCTCCTGTCCGGCAACTCAGGCTCTCAGCAAAGACCTGAGCCGATGTGGAGGAGGCCCAGGGGAAGGCTGGGTTACTAATGCTGCCCGGCTGGCTGCCAGCACAAGCTGGCGAGAGGACAGGCACATTCTTCTCTGACAAGCAGCAATGAATGGTCACCGTGCTGCCTGGGCTGTAGGCCGACACCAGACAGCAGGCTGACCTCAGACTGCATGATCCTTATCTTGAGGCTACAGCAGCAGCAGTGGCAGGAACAGGGACTCTGGAAGGGTTGAAAACCCAACAAGAAGCTTCTAGCCCAGGGACTGCCTCTCATGTGCTCCTTCCTCCCAATCCTGTTCCCTGTTTAGCCATGAAGATGCAAAGGCAGGAAGCAGAGGCCATGAGGCCAGCAGGACAAACCAGGTGTCCAAACCAGGCAGAGAAGTTATGGTGGAATCTACAAACCCCCTACATGCCAGGCATGGTGCCAGGCACCCCGTATATGTTTTCTAATGTACTCCTCTGAACAACCCGTTCAGACAGAAACTATTATTCCTATTCTGTAGATAAGAAAACTGAGGTTCAGAAAGGTTAAGAAGCTTAGTCACAGTCCTGAGTTCATACGTGACAGAGCCAAGATTCAACTCATCTTTTGGACTGCAAAAATAGAGAGCTTTGCCCCGTACCATGACAAGGAGGCCACAGCATGAAATTCACAAGTGAGAGTGTCTCTGTGTCCCACTAGGACAAGGAGCCGCCATCTGCCTCCAAATGATGGGTGACCTCCCAGAAAAGGAGGCAGGGCTGAATGAGACATGGGGAAGGAAAAGACTTGGCTGATCTCTCAGTGGTAAAGACCCCCCCTGACACCTGGGTAAGGGTCTCAGCCCCCAACCCCCAGCTCTCTGCAGAAACACCTCTGCATAATTGGTGTGGGCTCCTTCATCCAACACTCATGCAACACCAAGGAGAAGGTAGTGGGCAGCTGTCCCTTCCCTCTTCCCCCACTTGCTCAGTTTCCGGCAGGACGACGTCTGCTTGCACACTTGCTGATGTTGCTAGCCCAGGTCACAGAGGGAAAGACAGTCAGGACATGACAGCCAAGAGATACGTACATTAAGGATGACACCTTTGTCGAGCAGGCTCTGCTTCTTGGCAGTCATGACGAAATAGTGCGTGCTGTCCTTGTAGTAAACAATGTTCTCCAGATCAATCCCTGAAAAGAGAAGCGGTCACGGACTCAGCATCACTTCCTCGGCACCTGCTGTGTGCAGGAGCTCCACTCTGTCTCATTACAGGTCTCATTATTTTCATGTTAGACAAGTTTTAAGGCGTACACGGCCGGAAAAGATAAAACCGAGCGCCAGAATTTACCCAGGCCACACAGCTAGCTTTTATAGTCCCAAAAAGACACTATTTCTTTTTTTTCAATTGAGATATAATTGACATATAACAATGTGTAAGTTTAAGGTGTACAACATGTTGATTTGATACAATCTGATGCAATTTTATATATTGCAATATGATTAAGGTACTATTTCTTTGAAAACTCATAAAGTCCTTAGGGGCTGTGGACCAGTATTTCCAAGTTAGAGCTGAGTAGGTGCTGCCCATGGCATGGCAGCTAAGCAGGGGCAGAGCCAGGATTTGAACCCCAGCCTGTCTGATTCCAAGTCCCATGCAAAGAGCTGTGTAAATTCTCCAAAGACTATGCTAAGTGATGTTTCTACCACTCCCCTGCCGTGTGTGAAAACCCTGGTAAGGAACAACTCATGTTAAAGGGCTGGGTTGTATCTTTTTGCACTTTCCACCAATTGCAAAACACTTTATAGACTAGGTTTCCACATTTAAAACAATGCTGTGAGATGATAGCTTAGCTCAGTGGTTCTCAAAGTGGGGACCCCAGCCAGCAGCAACAGCATCACCTGAGAACTTATTCGAAATGCAAATGATCAGGGTCCCAGCCCAGACCTATTGAATCGGAAACTCTGGGGTAGGGCTGGCAGTCTGTGCTTTAACAAGCCCTATGGGTGATTCTGATACATGCTCAAGTTTGAGAACCACTGGCTTAGCTTCTTTGAAGGGAGAGAGAGAGATGCATGGCAACTTAGCACAGAGGCGTGCCGGGTAACCATAGGAACCCCTTTATTAACCGGTTAAATAGGAAACAACCATCAATGCAGAGGGCCCCCCAGAGAATCAGAGGAAATTCATTGCTGTCACTGTGTGAGGGGCACTGTTGTGAAACAATGGCCAAAGGTGACGACCACAGCAAAGTATAAAGGAAGCCCATTAAGATATTTGGAAAAACACACTCAATGTCCTGTCATAATTTATATTTGGTGGTTTAAGTATTTTCTTGGTTTTTGAGGGGAAGGGAGGGTTAGAGAATTCTTAAATCATTCAAAAGGACATAATATGCTGGAAGGAAATACTTTTTTAATAAAATAATGCAACTGTGGTAGAACTCAGAGGGTCATGCGATGGGCACACATCACTGCGGCTAGCGAGAGGCAGAGTCTGGCTCCATAAGAAATCCCATTCTTAGAAAACTATCTTAAAGAAATAATCCAACAGAAGCAGTTTTATCTGTAACAGTAAATAACTGAGAGCTATAAATCAGAGGTCAGCAAACTGATTCTGGAAAGGGTCAGATAGTCAACATTTGGGGCTTTATGGGCCATCCGGTCTGTGTCGCGACCACTCATGGTGGAGCAGCCATTGGCAACCACGTCAACAAATGAGGGTGGCTGTGTTCTAATTAACCCACACTTATGGACACTGAAACTTGAATTTCATATAGTTTTCAGTTTGTCACAAAATCTCCTTCTTTTGATTTTTCTTCAGCCATTCAAAATATTAAAACCATTCTGAGCTGGAAGGCAATACAAAAACATGTGGCCAGCCACGGTTTGCCAACCCACGGTTTAAATGCTTCAGCAGTGACAGTACATCCACTTAATGAGCTATTCTGCCCAAACTGACCATCCGGAGGTCTAGGTTGCAATGCAGACAGTTATTTTCAATGTGATGCTGAATGAGAAAAGCAGAATAACGAAGAGCATCACCACTACGATGACAGCCAGAGCCATGTAAACAGGAAGGGTGCAGGTGGAAAATTACCGCAAAGGGGTATAGGAAAATGAGGACTGTGCCTGGGCTAGCTGGTGCTAGGTGTGGATGATTTATTTTTAGCATACAGATTTTATTTAACATTGTTACACTGCCTTTTCAAGGAGAAATATATATATTTTAAATCATGTTAAAAAGAAAGGGAAAAAATCTGGAATATACTTAATTGGGAGCCGGCGTTTCATCCCTCTTCCCCTCACTCTGCTTTATTTTTCCCCACCAGCCTTATAGACCCCTGATGTGTTACTTAGTTATTTGTTTATGGATGATTTCCCCCTGAGCCGGTTTTGTTTGTTTTGCCCACGGCTCTACCTCACGCCCTTGAGCAGCATCTGGTACGGAGCAGGCACTCCATAAACATTTGCTGAGTAAATGAATGCATATCTTCTTTCCTCCAGGCCCACAGCTGGGGGACAGCGATGCCCCTGGGTGAGTGGCAGGCTCTCGGGCATCCCTGGATGTCCCCCAGGAGGGAGGGCCACTGGCACACTGCACAAAAGCACCCACGCTTCTTCAGGGACCACCCACAGATTACCGGCTCCCCCCTCAAAGTTCTCCCTTAATCTCACACTAACCCTGGGCATAGACTGACCAGCTTGCATTAGGATGGTTTATGTGGGTGTCCCTGGACAGGAAGCCACTTTGGGAGGGGAGCGTGTCAACCTCGACTCCATATCCCACGATATTGAGTGCTAGCTCTATGGGCACTCAGTAAATGTCTCCTGAGTAAAGAAATGTTCATCTGTGTTCATGTACAACATCTAGAACTTTCCCTCAAGACTCCCTCTTGTCCTTGAAGGAATCCTGCCCATTATTATCCTAAGGAGAAATCCCTGTTTCCACTTGATCAGACTGAGTCTCCCAGTCCCTAGAGCCGGGACAGCCAGCTGCTCCTCCGTGCACATCAGGAAGCAGGGACAATGGCCTGGTTTGGAGAAAGATGAAGGTCCCACCTGTTTCTTCTTTAAGGTCCTGAAAGAATTTCTGATTGAAGATGAAAGCCACGCCACTAATCTCTTCCACCTTGGCCTCAGCTGTGCTGTTTCTGTTTATGAAGTTGGCGGTGATTGCAATAGCCAACTTCCCACGGAATTCTTTTCTTCTGAACCCTGCGTGAGGAAAAGGGGAAAAGCAGGTCTTTCATCTGGATTTGGTGTGAAAAGTGAAAAAAATTACTGAGAAAGCTATTCTCAGATGCCCCACAGGCCAGTGAAACCAGAATTCTAGATCTCTAGAGAACACGGGGAGGCAGAGAGGCCAAAGTCTGTACCCGAGGAAGAAACAGGTCAGCAGCCTTTCTAAGTCAGTGGGACTCTTTCCTTTTCCACAATCCATAGGACCAGTTATCCTGGTTAGGCTTCGACAAACAAGGCTAAAGACATCTTCTCCAACAGGCAGTCACAGGGCTCATGCTTTTAAAGATGCATTACTAGGAACTCATGAAAGACCCACATACACCTTGAATTTATACAATAAAAACTACTTTATAGCATTTTTCATGATTTTTTTTTCCCTTTGTAAAGTAGGATTATGAGATTGAATTCCTACAGAACAGGAATTTAAACAAATTTTCTATCTCCAGTCCACAGTGACTGGCACTTCGTACACACTCAATAAATGTCTAATGACTAGACGGAACTCTAACTTGCAATTAATTTGGTACAATGATTCCTCAGAGTTCTTACACTTTTCAATGGTTTACATTAAAATTGTTTTTTAATGGTGGTAAGAATTCTGCATGCAATTACAATGTGGGATTTCCTCTCCGCAGCAATAAGCAATTCTAGGACACCAGCTGGGTGTCCTACAATTCAACTCAATTCTGATGCTATCTACCTGGAGATAGCATCAGATCCCACAGTCCCACAAGACTGGCCCTACTTCCATGACCATGTTGTCACCTGTGCTTCTGACCGACCACCTATAAATTAGAGGTTCTAAGGACCCCCTTCGCGGGTTCAATTAATTTGCTAGAGCAGCTCAGAGAACTCAGAGAAACATTTTACTTACTAGATAACTCAGGAACAGCCAGATGGAGAGATGCATAGGGCAAGGCATGGGGAAGGGGCACCGAGCTTCCATGCCCTCTCCAATCATGCCACTCTCCCCAAATCTCCACGTGTTCACCAACCTGGAAGCTCACCGACCCCTCTCTTTTCCAGTTGTCATAGAGGCTTCATTTCTTAGGCAAGATTGACTGAATCACTGGCCATTGATGATTGAACTCAATCTTTAGCCCCTGTCCCCTCCCAGGAGGTCAGGGGGTGGGGCTGCAAGTTCCAACCCTCTAGTCGCATGATTGGCTCTCCTGACAACCAGTCTCCCCCATCTTGAAGAGATTTCTAAAATACACCTCATTAACATAAACTCAGTTGTGATGCAAAGGGACTTGTTATGAATAACAAGGCACTCATTTCACCTTTATGGCTCTGAAACAATTTCAGGAACAGAGGACAAGAGACTAAATAGTGAAACAAAAGATGCTCCCATTGCTCTTATTACTCAGGAAATTCCAAGGGTTTTGGGGAGCTCTGTGCCAGAAAGGGGACAAAGACTAAATATACATGTCTTATAAATCACAATATGACAGGCAGGTACAGAAAGGATCACAAGTAGGTGGTCACATTCCAATGGACCATCTTCCTAGTCCCCTTTCTTTATAGCATCTGACTAGTCCTGTAGTCCTGAAGTTTCCTTCTGCCCCAGACACTGCTGTTGACTCAGCTTAACTCAAGGCACTCATCACACTGGCCGGGTCGCTGGACAGAACCTCTGTCTGCAGCCACCTTTGGGAATTCCCCTCCCATTCGCCCATCGTACACTCAAGCCTCATGCTGATTCTCAAACTTCTTCGTCAAAAATCCCTTTAACTAAAAATCCTGGGTTTCTATTTAATACCCTCTCCTTTAAGTTGTTCTTCATTACACCTTTGTCTAAATGGTCAGAAATGGTTATTAATCTCTAGTATTTCTTAACCAGGGTGATTTAGCCCCCCAAGGGGCATCTGGCAAAGCGTGGAGACATTTCTGGTTGCCACAACTGGGGGTGCTACTGGTGTCTAGTGGGAGGAGGCCAGAGATGCTGAAAAGCATCCTACAAGGCACAGGACAACTCTCAGGATAAAGAATGGCCCCAAATGTCAGTAGTGCCCATTGAGAAACCTTGCTCTAGTCTACTTACTTGGTCCTAAGCTGCTCCTCTTCCCCACCCTTCTTTTCATCTTCACAAAATGCCAAACTATACTCAAACCGAGCATGGATCCTGGATTTTCAAATATTCAGATTTACAGTTTTCCCAAACCATCAAAATGGCCCCATAAACTCCAACAGCAAAACATTCTGGTTGGCAGCTTAAACCTTCTTTCTCAGACATTGGTTATTGATTGCAGGGGGGGTGGAGTAGGTATGGAAGGGAGGAAAGAGGAAAGGAGCGCTGGTTGCAGAGCAGGTGGGAAGGGGCTTGGCTGGGCGGACCACACATCCTGAATTCTCTAAGATCTGCCTTATTTCAGGGAGTGTGTTCTCTCCTCAGAGAAGGTGTCCTCCCAGGCAGACACCCACAGCCTACAGCCCTGCAGCAGGGCAAGCTCGGAAGGCAGACTTGTCCCCAGTCTATGAGATGCCACGTGGGACCACTCTGTCCACAACCCCTGGTCTCAAATTAGTACAGTTAATGCAAATTACTACAACCTGTGCACCAACTAATCTTGGGGCTGGGGTGGAGGTGACTGAAGGCATTTCCTGGCAATGGGTTTCCTCTCTCAACCTGACTAGATCCTACCCCAAGACAACATGTGCTTCCAAACACAGAACTCGGAGAAGCATGGTTTTGCACCTTGACAGTTTGGGCAAAACTTATCATACTGCCCAGCAGTGAGTGTGCTTGAAATCTCTGAAAACAGATGCTCGCCTCCTTCTGTAGTATTATACTTGACAGTAAACTAATACCACTAATAGTATAAAAAATGGTTATCTCAGCTAGATGAAGTAAGTACGAAAGTGCTCAGCACCATGGCTTGCACATTGGCAGCTGCTCGATAAATATAGGTTCATTTTTTCTTTTAATTTTCAGGCACTTGACATTTCTAAAGCATTTTTACATATGAGTGCTTTCCCAGCCCTTGTAATAATGCTCTGAGAGAGTTCTATTATCCACATTTACAGTTGGGAAAACAGAGATTCAGAGGGAATTAAATGGCTGTTCTGAACACTCAGCTTCAGGCACGAGAGGTGGTCTGCTCTTCTATCAAGACCCCCACCCAGCTATGGCACCTGCCGTCTTGCCCTCCCTTCTTCATCCCCTTTCTGATACACCCCCTCCCTCTCCCATCCCCCCATCCTCAGCCCCAAGAAGAGTCTTCACCTTCCAGGGTGTTCCTGCGGCCATCAGCGCCAATGATGACGTCAAACTCAAACTCCGACAGAGAGTGGTCCGCAGGAAGAAATTCTGCCCGCCAGCCAATTTCTACCAGGACAGAAAAATGACATGAGTTGGCAGAGAGAAGCAGGAGGAGGGAGGGAATATACCCCCTCTGTGCTGGCCGTGAGAAATAGGCAATGCCACCAGGTATAGGCACCCCAGACAGAGACTCCAGAGGAAAGACCCGGAGCTGTCCAGATTCACACTGGAATCTGCAGTCCTTCTGGCTTTAGTTTCAGTTCAATCCAGGACCAGGTAAACCAGCAGCGCCAACTCCATGCCTCACTTTACAGGTTTCTACAAAGGCTGAGAGTCTGTCCTCAGTGATTCTCAAACCAGTCTCTCTTGCATCTTATTTTTCTCAACAGATTCCACCATGCTCTCTTCACATTCCTCCACATTCCTCACTGTCCTCCCATTGCTAAACAGACCCAAAAGAATGTTCAGGGTGTAATGAAACCAGTTTGAATTCCTACTTCATTCTGTTCAAAATGTTCTGTTGTGCAGTATACAGTCTTTTATGAAACCATTTTCAGGTGAAACCTTGCTGGTTACCCATAATTAGGATTTAATGTCCACTAGAGGTCTGGGACAGGTTAAGCACACACAAGTCTCTGAAAGTTAAATAACGGATGCTGTCCTGCTCAAAAGCCAACTAACAATTTCCCTAAATTCTCAATATTGTGGGCAGAGGATAGGAAAAATCAGAGGTATAACTTGCGTGTGAAGCTATAAGGTCTTTGACACTAAGCTAGACCAAAAGTAAAAGCCGTGCCCAAGGAGCAGAAGATTTGGATAATAAGATGCAGAAGCATCATGAACAAACTCTCTGACCACGGTGTGTATAAAAGAGCAGAATTTACGTAAACATACTGAAAGGAAAAAGAGAAAAATTACTAAGTAGGACATACCCACAATGGGTGAATTTTATGGTTTGTAAATTATACTTTGATAAAGCCTAAAAATATTATATACTAAATAATATTTTGAGCATTTATTTCATATATGCTCTAGCAACTTTATTGGATTTTAAAATATCGTACAGGTACAACAAGTGGATCCACATGTCTACGTGGGTACACACACAGCTGGAACAGCATGTGAATGAACTCTATCAGATAACCAAATCTATGTCTTTCATCCTACTTACTGATTAGACTTCATTTGTCAAAGTACCGCCTCCTAGTGACAGAGTAACCAAATTACAGGTTTATTGGCTTAATAATAAATCCCCTGGGAGCTGAAGAGCAAATCTGAAGTGACAGCAAGTGTCAAAAAAGGTAAAATATCCTTTGATGGAATTATGCCAAACAGCTCCCAATAAGAATAACTCTTACAGAAACACCCTCTGAGAGCTGCAAATGTGATTTCCATTTTGCAATGTCTGATTTCTAGACAGAAAAGCAAAATTATACTGTACTTTGATTTTCTTGATCTTCAGGAGGCTCAAGAACCTTCACGAACTCCACATTCACATGGATTTCAACTCCCAATATCAGGGCTACCTTGAATAGGATGAGCTGCAACTGACGAATACCTGTTAGAAAGGAAGGGAACTGTCAGTAGCAATGTCTGAGTGTCTCCTCTATACAGAATACCATATGATCACCATTCAGTGATCTCTGAGCAAGCAAAATACAATAATGATCATTATTGAGCGCTAATCATGTGCCAAGCACTCTTGGCGTTTTCTCATTTAATGCTTACAGTGGCCCTTTGGGATTACTTATTCTCATTTTATAGATGAGAGATTGAGGCTCAATGAGGCTAAGTGACTTGCTCAAGGTCACATAGCAGCAAAACTAGAATGTGGACCCAGACCTGTCTGATTCCAAGACTGTGCTCCAGCTGTTAGAGAATGCTATAATGATGGAGGCTCTTTCTTTCCTGCCTCCTTCCTGAGCTGGGCTGTGGGTTTGATAAGATAAAGATGGAAAGAGGACTAAGCAAAGAGAGAGTAAAGAGCCATAAGTAAAGTCAGGGATCAAATGACCCATTCTCGGGGAGACTGTGCCCACACTCTCATCCAGGGGAAGAGGTGGGGTGGGGAATCTCCCCACAAAGCTGGGCTCGTGGTTTTCCACCTCCTACCCACTCTCTCGAATTCTCCCAATGAGTGTCACCTTGTTTCTCTATATTGTCCCCTACCATTCACCACAAATGGGTATGCCTCCAAATACTTTTCTGCAGAGTGCAAAGTGTGCAACTTTCTGTGGGTCCCTCTGTATTTCGCGGGCTTTGCTCATTTAACACTTATCGAACATCTACAATGTGCCAGGTGCCATGCTAGGCCTGGGAGATGTGGAACACACCCTCTAATGGAGGAAACACAGGTGAACAGAATAAAGCAGGGCATGGGAGTTGGAGGGCAGGAGAGTGACAGAACAGAGCCTGAGTCGCAGTCCTGGAAGCCAAGAGAGGAGGGACCAAGAACACCAAATCCCACGGAGAGATGAGGAAAGATGAAGACTCCAGGAGGCCAGTGCACCTGGGAGTTAGGAAGCTTCTGGAGACCCTGGTGAAAATCTCTTTAGCACAGTGGTGGGGCAGAAATCAGACCACAATAGAAGGAAGCATGAATGGAAAGTACAGACAAAGTCTACATCTCCTCTTTCTAGAACAAATACTTTGAAGTAAAGAAACATAATGCCAGAGACAGGAGGGGCAGCGTGAGGTAAGGGGCAGGTGAAAAGGAGGGAAGGACACCAAGAGAACCTAGAGTTGCAGAGGAGGTGCCAGCTCTGCCTCTGACTTGGGGGTGAGAGGAAGGAAAGGGTATGTGGGTGGGGCGGAGCAGGACGAAGGCGAGGGGGCTGGTGGGGAGTGCCTGCCAGAGCTTCTCGTCCCCAGAGCATAGGAGGGAGGCCATCTGCTAAGAACGAGGAGGTTGTGATGGAGGTTTGGAACAGCATGGCAGGAACTGGAGGACGATGCTGACACGGGACAAGTTGAGAACTGTTGAGCAATGCTGAGGACCAGGACAAAGCTGGGCCAGGCTGGAGAAGACCATGGGCACTCTGAAAGGAAGCCAATCAGCTGGGCTTAAAGAATCCAATCCACCTCCTGCCTGGAAGCAGGCCTTGGTGGGGCCTGGCCTCTCCTCATAGTTTCAAGGTTCCTAGTCTATCTGGTTCCAGCACACAGTAGGTGCTTGATAAATTCTCCCTGCTCCCTTCTCACAGGTGTTGGAGCTGCCCTTGACAATGATCACTCTGAAGGTTTGAATCTCAGTTGCAGAGTCCCGCCAGTGTTTTTGCACACTGGGATATTGCCAAGGACTAGAGGTTACAGGGGGACCCTGTGAATGGGGCAGAGAGGGGCTCCTGGCCAGGAAGGCAGCCCAACAGCCCTGGGGCCCTCATAAGGCCTCCTGATGCCCAGCCCTGCCTCTCAGGAGGTCTTGGTGAGAAAGTGGTGCTCAAGGTGTCGTTCTAAATCGGTAATGAACATACATCCTTCTGTGGGTGGTAGGGAATATCCTGAACGCTGACACTGCAGCTTTCTGGGCAAATCCAGATTTCTCTCCTGGAATTTTCTCACCCCTGGGTGGGAATAAACTCTGGGGCCACTGCTGGTAAGTTCTCCTGTTCTGACTAAATTACGCCCTATGTGGTTATTAATCCTCTCCAGTCATTCCCACCCAAACCCCACACCCTTTTCCCATCACCTCTTGTCCTCATAGGAGCATTGGCTCTCAGGGTGCCCCTCCCACCCCCTGGTTGGGAGACTGCAGCTCTGAATTCTGAGGTTTGGGGACCCTGGCTGCTTCTCGCTCACTGTACACCACTGGATGCACAGTGTGTCCTGAGGATCCACTACGCGCCAGACACAGATAAGCACATTACAAGCTTGACCTCATTTAATCCTCTCAGCAGGCCAGGGTGGCGGGCATTAATCATGTTTATGGGAAACAAAACTGGGGCTTGAAGAAGGTAAGGAATTTGACCCAAGTCACACAGAAAATAGACAAGACAGATTTTGACCCAAATCTGTTCAAACCCTTGAAGTCTCCCCACAGTATTAACCTCCCCGGCTTTTATGGGTCACGGTTGCTAAATATAAATCGGCTAATGACCTCGTCCCTGCAAAGCCTGAGGAGGGAGGCTGTTCTCCCACAGCCTGTCTGCACAGATCTTGCCTCAGAGACCCAGGCGTGAATAACGTCAGAGCAGGAGGGCCTCGGTGCTCACCTGGCCCTACCTCAGCATTCAGGGATAGCCAGGACCTGAAATCCACGTTCTCTATTGCCCCTCCTTCTCCATCCAGATGAACCCCCGTCATGATGCCTTCTCTCTTTTTAGAGTTCAAGGAAACTTGGTACAGGATCTGTCAATTGTGTCATTCCTCTGTTCTGAAGCCTGCTGTTGCTCCCCAGAACCGGCAATATAACATCCAACTCCTTTGCCCCAGAGGCCCTAGACCACCTGGCCCATTCAATGGTTTTGTGTGGCTCCCTCTTCTGCACTCATCTAGCAAGTCTGACTACTATATTAAAGCACACTTTATTCTTGACCATATCTCGGTGAGTTCTCTGAGAGTGCAGACTAGGTGACTTCTGACTCTATTTTCTATATTTCATTCATTCGTTCATTCAACAGAAGTTTATTGAGCATCCACTATGTGTCAACCACTCTTTTACACCCTGGAGACACTCTGGTGAACAGGACATGCCACAGTCCCTCACCTCACGGTGCTTATAGCCTAGCGGGGCAGAGCACAGGCCTGGCACGAGGCACCAGGCACCAGGCACCAGGCAGGCCCTTCACTGAATGTCTGCCCATTGGATGAGTGAAGCCCCCAGGGACTTGCAAGATGGAACATCCTGGGGGCTCCTCGATGTGGAGGGATGTGCCCCACCCAGGGTCAGCCCCCTCCTCACACGGGGTGCCACCACTGTCTCCACTCACTGATGTGGTCGATGGAGCCGGCACAGAACTTCCCGTAGAACTTCTTGGCTCCCAGGCCCCGCAGGTCATGGATGGTGAAAGGCCAGAGGTGCAGCACATTGTTCCGGGAGAAGGTGTCCCTCTTCTCCACCACGACCACTTTGGCCCCCAGGTAGGCAAGTTCAATGGCAGTGCGCAAACCACATGGTCCTCCCCCAATGATGAGACACTATGGAGGCGAGAGAGGAGAGAGACACTCAGTGACCTCTGGCATTGCAGACACAAACCCCAAGTCAGCAGCATAACTGAGGAGCAAACTCCAGTTCACCCAAATCAACCAGCAAGTGCAAACCGAGCACCCATTAGGACCTTCCATTCACCCATCCAATGTGCATTACCTGTGGGTCTACCAGGCACCAGGCACTGTGCCAAGCCCTATAAGGGACCAGAGGTTAAGAGACTTGGGGGGAGGCACAGTGAGACACACGTGAGGTTCAAAGTCCGACTCAACTAGGCTTAAATCCCAGCATTTGACCTCTTAGCTTCCTCATCTGTGAAATGGGTCTATTACTCTTTCCTCATAGGGTTATTGAAAATAAGATTGCTTTGAAAAATCTTATGGTACATCTTCGTGACCTTGGATTAGGCAATGGTTTCTTAGATACGATATCAAAAGCGTAGGCAACAAAAGAAGAGAGAGATAAATTGGACTTTATCAAAATTAAAAACTTTTGTGCTTTAAAGGCCACTATCAAGAAAGTGAAAACATAATCCACAGATGGGAGAAAATATCTGCAAATCATATTTCTAATAAGAGACTAGCATCCAAAATAGATAAAGAATTTTATGACTCAACAATAAAAAGACAAATTACCCAAGTAAAGAATGGGCAGATGAGCTGAACAGACATTTCTTCAAAGAAGATATACAAATGGCCAATAAGTACGTGAAAAGATGCTCGACATCATTAGCCATCAAGGAAATGCAAATCAAAGCCACAATAAGACACCACCTCATACCCACTAGGATGACTATAACCAAAAATGCATACAAAAACAAGTGTTGGCGAGGATGTGGAGATATTGGAACCTTATACCTTGTTGGTGGGAATAAAATGACTCAGATGCTTTGGAACAGTTTGGTCTTTCCTTAAAAAGTTAAACATAGAGTTACCATATGACCCAGCTTTTCTACTCCTAGGTATATACCTAAGAGAAATGAAAACATATGTCCACACAAAAATTTGTACACGAATGTTCATAACAGGCTGATTCATAATAACCAAAAAATAGAAACAACCCAAATGTCCATTAATTGATGAATAAACAAAATGTGGTATATCCATGCAATGGAATGTTATTCAGCTATAAAAAGAAATGAATTGCTGATAAATGGATGAACCTTGAAAACATTATGCTAAACAAAAGAAACCAGACACAAAAAGACACATAGTGTATGATTTCATTTACATGAAATGTCCAGAATAGGCAAATCCATAGAGACAGAAAGTAGATTAGTTGTTGCAGGGGAATGGGGGAGGGGAGATTGGGAAGTGACGGCTGAGGGGTACGGGGTTTCTTTTTATGGGGATAAAATGTTCTAGAATTAGATAGTGGTGGTGGTTGTACAACTTTGAGAATATTCTAAAACTACTGATATTTATACTTTACAAAAGTGAATGTTACAGTATGTGAATTATATCTTAATAAAATAATTGTATGAGGAAAAAAAAAGCATATGGTACCAAGTTTGGCACACGCTGGCCTAGACATTGTTATTCTTATTGCCAAGACCCAGTCCTAGGAACTCTCAGTCTAGTGGTAAATTCAGACTTGTGAAATAAATAACTAGAACCTCATGTGGTTAGTTCTATATAGAGCCCAGAAAGGGAAAAGCTAATCCTGCCTGGTAAACTGGAAAAGACTTAACAGAGAAAGACTTTAAAAATTATCGTCATCACCAACACCACCACCACCATCTTTATCATCATCATCACCATCATCATCACCACCACCACGATCATCACCACCATCATCACAGCCCACATTTGTTGAGCACGTACTATGTGCCAGATACTGATCTAAGTGCTTTATGTGTTTTAGCTCTTAATCCTCACAACAAAGGAAGGAACTATTATTGTCCCCATTTCACAGATGGGAAAACTAAGGCACAAAGCAGCTAAGTATTTGGCCCATGGTTTTACAGATTGACAGGGGCAGAGCCAGGATTCAAACCTGGGTGGTCTCACTCCAGAGCCTACCATGCTGTACTGCTTCCGGTTTGCCAGGAATAAGAAGAAGAAAGAACATTTCGGTAGAGGGGATGGCCCATTCAAAGAGAAAGGGAAAGAAGTTCAAGGTGGAGGGAGAGAAGGATTCTTGAGCGGAAGGGAAGAGAAAAGAGATGCGAGTTAATCTAGAGCCTGATGCCGTCTTAAGTGACAGGCAAAGGAATATGGTCTTGGTCTCGTAGGCCCTGGGGCCGTGGTGGACAGAGGTGACAAAACAGAATTCTGTACAAGCCCCACACTAGGTCTTAATGGATACTGCAGTGTTGAAGAAGACCAGGGTCCTTCCCCAAGGAAGCTACAGCCGTTCAGGAGAGAAGGGAAGACACATAATGACCCAGCTAGTTATACTGGGCAAAAGCCCTTTATTCAAATAAAGTCGTCTGAGGAGCGCCAATACTGTTTAAGGACAGAGGAAAAGGGCAGGATTCTGGCTGAGAGTCACAGACACCCCAGCACAGCACCCTGCCCGACACCTAGGCACCTCCTAGGAGGCAAGAGTTCACCTGGGGGGTCTACATAACCGAGGATACCCCAACAAGGCAGTAGGGAAGGAGATCTGCACCCACATCTCACTGCTGACATTGCAGAGGTGTCTGGAAACTTCCCTCCTGCTCGGGATCAAACCTTATCTTAAAAAAATGCATTCCCCTTCCCCTAGCAAATAGTCTATCATCCGGTTATCACTCTTCTGGGGCCTCCAGGATCCCAAAGGGAAAGTGCAAACAAGCATATCAGAAGCTCCCACATCGCAATCAGCGTGGTTTACTGGCTGGAGCCTTCCAGAGAGTTAGTGGAAACCCCAGTAGGGGAAGTGAAGTCACTGCTGAGATACAACTCACTCCAGAGATGCAGGGAGCGGGTGGGCAAATCCTTTCTCTTGCTTTCTGGATGGAGCTGACTGAGAAGGGAACCAACTCCCCCAAGCCCAGCTCCACTTCTTATCTCACACCCCAAACAGCTCCTCCAGCTCGGACATAGCCAGACCATGACGGGCATTTCAAAGCAAGACTCCCAACCGACACTCTGAGGTTGGCTTTGGGGTTAAGTCTGGATTCATTGCATTTCTTTGCAGTTAGTGCATCTTTTCCTGTTTGCCGAGCTCTGTCACTCCAGGGCCAGGGATGGAGCGGGGGTGGGAGGATGTGGGGTGAAGAAGGGCAGGAAGGGAAGGAGGGAGCCCTCCTGCATCCTTCCATCCTCCAGGCCTGACCCAGCACTGCTCCCAGGCAAGGCGGGAGATCCCTTTCCCACCCATGGTGGGGCTGCTGTGCATTTTCAGGCAAACAGTAGTCCAGGTACTGTTTCTGACCCTCCCAGCTAAACCTGCAATCCCATCCGTGAAAGCTTTCCCACTACCCTGGGCCCCAGCACATACTTTGGGCCTGAAATTTCAGAGACGCCAGTCATACCATAATCTAAAGTCAAAGCAAATACCAACGGGCCTAATTATATAAAGGGAGAAAATTTGGTGCAGATGTTATCAAGACAGGAGAGATGGCTGTTGGCAGGGGCCAGGCTGGTTCCTCTCGGAACACGCTTGTTATGATTAACATGGGAACTCAGAGTTCTGACAAGAGACAGAAAACCACGGCTGCTGCGCGCCTGGGCAGAGGAACAGGAGACAAGAGGGCTTCCCCAGCATGCCCACAGTTGACGCTCTGGATGTCGGGCGTGCTGCAAACAGACCATGGATGCAAAGGGTTGTGACAACTCAGCACAAAGGAACTCTCCACATTTCCCAGACCCATCTGGGCTATCACTGCTGGGGACATATTGTTAAGGAAAGAGAACTTTTCATTAACACTCAGCCACAACGCCTTTCTCAAGCCCCAAATTAGACTGGACATTCCTCCCATAGGCTCTGTTCTCAGTGCTACCCCGGAACTAGGTTCCGCATCTTATAATTATCTGCATCCAATTCCCAGGCCAGCATGACTGCTCCTCAGAAACTGTCCCCGTGTCCTCTGCATGTCTGTATGCTCAGAGCCCAGGACAAGGCCTGGCACACAGGAGGCCTCAATAAACAGTTGATGGATGAATGAACTTCCCACACCCTCACCGCCCACCCAGTTCTGGCTCTCCATCGATAACCGGGATGTTCAGTTCACGCCAGCCGGGGTTTATGTCTGTATTTCCCACCCAGGCTGGGGGAGCTGGGGTCTGCCAAGGCCACCAGCATCACGGACGTCAGCAGATCTGTGTGCTCAGGCGACATAAATTTATTACGCAGTGGGAAGCAGAGCAGATCCAACACCAGCAGGAAGCCCATGATATAGATAAGCTTGGCAACGCTCAGGTCTCCACATTCGGGGAGCGAGACAAACACCACATGGAAAAATCAGCTCTCTATTTATCGAGGGGTGGGGAGAGGGGAGGAGGGGACTCGCCCACAGTCACGGCTCAGGGCTGGGGCAGCCCCAGGCCACACGGGACCCCGTGCCATCCCAGGGGAGTCCCACGAGCACTACCCACTTCTTGATGACACAGTGCATCTTCCAACCCACAAGCGGTGGGTGTGCTGGGACTGTGCCAAGAATGCTAAGGGATTCAGCCCCCAGAGGGAGCTGCTGAGGGGACCAGGGGCTAAGCCAGGGGTTAGCAGTCTGAAGACTTGATTTCCGCTTCCGAGTTCTGCCTCCAGTTTCCTTGGGAGCTGTGTGTGTGGACATTCCAGTGAGGAGGGGAGCAGAAAGCCAGCCCTGGAGGCAGCAGCTTGCTGACTTGGGCTCTGTACCTCAGTGAAAGGAGGATTATAGTATCTAAGCTGTGCGGTGCCCAGCACTTTCTACTTGCCAGGCACTGTCCTAATCACTGTATGTATTTCATCCTTCCGACTGCCCTATGAGGTAATGTCTTCATCATCTCCGCTTTATATAAATGAGAAACTGACTCATAGAAAAGTTAAGCAACTTGCTCCAGGTACCCCTATTATCCCATTT